TTAGAAATTATGGAGTACAACGTATAGCGTGGGCCTATGCCATTAATCAATACTATGATACAACAACCAATGTTGATGGAAATTGATGCGCAACCAGGATTATTGACACTACAGAGACAAAAAATATTAATACAAAAGGGATTGTACTTTTATTGTCGGGAGTTAGGCCATTAAATTAGAGACTATCTAAAACTTCAAAGCTCAAGCACCAACAAATCACAATGGATTCACAATCTCAAAGGCCACCAAGTTCATGAAGAAGTGGACTAGAAAAACATGGCTTCCTAGGAAAGGCAATAAGGGCCAATATTAGGGATGGTTGATATTTTTTAGATACAAATGGCATGGCATCAAACAACAATCAGAAAGGTCCACTAGTGTGTCTAATGAGCTGAATAAAAAGACAACTATGTCGAGTGTTTGTGGATTATAGCTCTACAAAAAATTTCATTTTAATGGTGAACCAACTTGGGAATAAAATAAAGGTAATGAAAAGATAGAGAATATACTTAATAGATGACCAAGAAAATGTATTGAGCAAGACAAGTGAAGAAAAAATCTTAAGACTAAGTGACACCTATGCCTCAAGGAAGAAGTTCAGAATAATAAAGTTTAGATATGATATTATCCTTGATATGCCATAATTAGAAGTAGAAAATAAATAAATTGATTAGCTAGTAAGGACAACCCCTTTTTAAAGATGGAAGACACATGGTGATTTTTTGTACTTATCTAGTGGCATACCATTTGATTGAAGTGCCTCCTTTCAGATAGAATTAGTATTTAAGGCCAAATTAGTAAGTGAGCCAATGTATTGTCTAGCATCAAGTAAACTTAAAGAGTTGCAAAAGTCATTAAACAAAGTCTTAGAAAAGAGCCTCATTTGAGAAAGCATATCGCAATAGAGAGGACATGTATTTTTTGCATCCAAAAAAGATAGTGGACTTTGATTTTTCATCAATTATTGGAGCCATAATAAGTAGGTTGTCAAGAATACATATCCACTTGTACGTATAGATGATCTTCTTGATTAACTTTGAGGTGCAACCTTCTTTAGCAAATTGGACCTTTTGAGTGGTTATTGACAAATTCCTATTGCCAAAGAGGATATAAAAAAGATAGCATTCTATAAGCACTATAGACATTTTGAGTGGCTTGTATTATCTTTTGGCTTCACTAATGCTCCAACCTCTTTTATGGATCAAATAAAAAAATTATTTTAGAACCTTTTGAATAAGAATGTGGTCATCTTCATTGATGATATCCTAGTCTATAGTAAAATCCATGAGGAGCATGAATAACATCTACAAGAAGTGTTGTGCCAACTACATGATAGTCATTTCTATGGTAAGCAATCAAAATGTAAACTTTGGAAGTCAAAGGTCACTTTTTTCGAGCATGTAGTGTCCTTTGAAGGCATGTACATGGAGCAAGACAAGGTGAAAGTAGTGGGAGATTGACCAACTCTTAAGGATGCTTTTGAAGTCCGCTCATTCTTAGGTCTTATTAGATATTATTGCCATTTTGTTTAATGATTTACACACCTTAATGCCTCATTGACAAGCTTATTCAAAAAAGATGCTCCATTGAAATGTAAATTAGAACAAAAAAAGGACCTTCAAAGAGTTGAAAGAGTCATTAATTACTACTCCAATATTGAAACTATATAATCTCAATCTTCCATGTATACTTGACATTGATGCTTTCGACTTTGCTATTAGCGCAATTCTTCAATAAGACTTTGCTAAGGGCCTTCAATTTATGGCATATGAATCATGCAAACTTAGAAGGACAAAGTATAATTATTTTGCATATGATGAAGTTCAATTAATAATTATGCATACCACAAAGGTATGGCGACACTACTTGTTGGAGAAGCAAGTGATTATTTGGACTAATCATCAATCTATGCTATACGATTTGTATCTAGAAAATATGAAATCATGACATCATCATTAGAAAGAATAGTTGTAGCTCTTTGACATTCAGTGCAAGGGCAACAAATATTGTGTCAGACATCTTATGATGCAAACTCAACTTAAAATCCAAATTAGATGACAAAGCACAAATTGTTACCGTTAGTAGTGTCATTTTAGACTTAACTAGAGGAAAAAAATGGAAAGAAGCTATACGTTGTGATACTTATTTTAAGTTGGTTATTTATTGACTAAAAGTAGACGATGTGTAATATTAAGCTTATCATATCAATGATGGCTTGATCTATTTCAAGAAGCAAATTTATATACCTAACAATGTTATACTTCAAATGCGCATACTTCCATAGAAACACATCTTAATATTTGGATAGTTAGGGCATGAGAAGATTTTAGAATGGATCTCAAAGACATGGTTTTAGGCATGTTTGGATTATGATGTTCAAGCTTTTGTGCATTCTTATGAATCATGCTAACATAACAAAACATACAACGCAATATTTCATAGGCTATTGTAACCAATTCCACTACCTGTGGCACATTGGGAGCAAGTGATCATGGATCTTATTATGTATTTGTTGTAGACGCCTCACAATCACATTGCAATTGCTGTCTTTGTAGATTAGCTCTTGAAGCAACTTCACTTGGCTATAATCCACTCTGATATTGATGCCTCAGCACTTGCATGAGTCTTCTTTGACATTGTCTTTTATGACTATGGATTACCTCGTGTCATCATTTAAGATCAAGATTTGTACTTCACAAGGGCTTTATTGACAAGCCTTGTTTAAGCTACTAGAAACATGACTTGTCATTTCTACGACCTTCCATCTTTAGACAAATAGACAAACAGAGAATAGAAATCAAACTCTAGAAAATATGCTATGGACATTCGTGGTGGTTTATCATAATGACTAAGATGAATATTTGACATCCTTAGAGTTTGCTTATCATGATAGTATTCAAGCAAATACCAGTCATTCATGAGTCTTCTTTAACACCAGTTAGTATTCAATCACATTAGCAATTCTTCATTCTCCTATTGACATCAATAATCCGATAATGGAGGAGTTTATATAACAACTTACAATAACCTTATAGGAGGCACAATACCTGCTTCTTACACAAAATCAACAGAAGCAATATGCGGATAACCACTAGCAATACAAGACCTTTTGGAAGAATAATTAGGTATTACTCTCTAACGCCAACCTTCTACTTGCTACATCAACTTAAGTCCTTAAACTAGTACCTTGATGGCTTGGACCTTTCTACATTTTTGTAGTAACTTTTGATGTTGCATATTGCTTTGAGCTTCCGCCACATATTTGGATCTATTTAATCTTCCATGTTTTACAATTCAAAGAATTTCATATTGAACTAGGGCGCTTTCCATATTGACATCAATCACCACCACCACCACCACCAATTGTGATTGATAACTAATAGAAGTATAAAGTAGATAGTATTTTGAAGCATTGCTACCTTTGCCGTAGGAATGGGCATCCACAACTTTAGTACAAAGTTGTCTAGAAAGGCTATTCCATCCATGATACAATGTGAGAACCTGCACAAAATCTCATTCATTGTCAAGAAACCATTTAGAAAAAACATCAAAAGCAAAACAATGACATTCCATAGTAGTAGAAGGGGATTAGTTATAACAGAGCATGAATAAGATATTTATATTATTTCCATATAGAGATATGTAGTTGAAGTCATTTTTGAGAAGTTTTTAGAATTGAGGTTATGATAGTGGTTTATATGAAATCTACCATAGAACCTTCTAAAAAGGCTTAAGGCAGTTATCATGGTGGGTCCATCTTTAGAATCCTTTAGAAGGGCGGTTATTTTAGTAGAATCTATCATTAGAGACATTCTAGAAAGTTTTAGAGATAGTTGAATAAAGTATAAATAAGACTAGCTGATGCTATGTGGACATTTGATCAGGTATGGCTTCAAATTCTTTTTCTTAGTAAAGTTTGGTTGTTTTTTTTCTTGTTCTATTATGTTTGGTTCTATTTAGTTCTATTTGGTTCTATTCTCTTTTATTCAATCTTGTCTTTCATATTCCATTCCGTTTAATTATTTTTAATTTTTTTTTGATATGCTTAATCTTACATTCTATTGAAGTCTTTGTTGTTATAAATTGGTAAGGTTTTAGACCTTAGAAAATCCAATCATGTTTGAATATTGATCAATCATTAAAAAAACTAGTGCTATTAAATTTAAAGAAAATAAAAATAGATTTTTATTCAATTGACAAAAAATAATACATCCCTAAAAGTAGATACACACTGGTAATTCATTCAACAAATATAAACGATAGAATTGATTAATTAGAAAGTTAGTGACATACTAAAAACTATATTCAAGAGATGTGTTGAATAAAGTTATGCCAAATTTTATGCAACATGTAGTTTGGCTCCCTAATGCACCTAAATAAGGAAGACTGGTGATAGCCTTTCACATCCAAAAATAAATTAGCTATTGTCACAAACATAAGAAGTAGATTTGCTATTATTAAATACACATGGATATTTTTGATATTTCAATATATTTGAGGGATATATATATGATATTTTTCCTTTAATTTATACCACAAACTTGCACAATTTGATGAAAAGTGTTCAAAGTATAATAATGTCTTCACAAAAATTTTAAAAATTAAAAAAATGTATCATCACACCATTATTTCTCAATTTCTTCACAATTCTTGAGAGACATACACATTTACTATTCAAGAGCAAAAGAAGCAAATAGAATGGAGTAGCCAACGAAGTAGCCAATGGGATGCCACCTCCGACCTCCAAGAGAGGGTGGGCGGGAGACGCCAACGTGGCGCCGCAAGCAACGGAGATGGATGAGGGGGATGCGTTCACACGGGCCACAAGAAAGAAAGAAGGAAGGGGATCCCCCGCGCGGCCCCACGAGGATGGGGAGCGAGGCAAAATCAAAGCAAAGCCAATAGCGGAGGAGGGACGTGGAGAATAGGAGGAAGGGCCATAAAGGTGGGACGCAACAAATCCAGCCCGAATCCGAGCAAGCAAGCTCTCACATACTCTCAATCACTCACTCACTCCCCACACCCCACACTCCCTCCCTCGCTCGTTCCCTGTTTATTTGTTTGTTTCTATATCTTCTTGCGATGATGATGCGATTGGATTGGCCACCGCACTCCAGCTGGTACTTTTGCTTGCTCTCTCTTCCTCTCGCTCGCAATGAGTCAAATGATATCTTTTCGTTAACCTCCCCTCTGGGCAAGTAGCAGCGTTCCACAGCAGTTGCAGCGCAGTGAGGGATGAATTCAACGGATGGCGTCAGGATGCCTCTCATTTGCTGCGTGTGTCTCTGTTGGCCAGTTTGCTTTTCATCGATAGGTTGGTTCCTTTCTTTCACGCGTTTGATGTAAGGAGGGGGGCAGGGAGGGATTTGAACTTACTGATGAACTCAGTAATTTGGGAGCGATGCCGTAGCGGCGAATCTGAGGTTTGGTTGTGCATGGAGAGGGCGGTGTGGCGCAGCGCGGTGGCTGTGATTTGGAAGAATTCAGCCGAGAATTGTGAGAGAACGAGGCGGTTGAGTGCGGGTTCGAGCTGTTTGCAGTGTGGATGATAGCTGTTGTATGGAGTGAGGGCGCGTCTGCTTTGCAGTAGAGGATGGGTTGGAGATGGACAGGGCGAGGTTGTCATGTGTCTGTGTGTGGTTTTGAGAGTTTTCGGAGTTCGGTCAGCTGCTCCGGTTGAGTGTTTGGTTATCGCTTGTGTTATAGCAAGGAGTGAAGCAGTTTGTGTAATTTTGCTGTCTGGCTTTTTGTTTTAGATTTTACATATTTCTTGGTTTCTTGGTGCGTTAGAGGAGTTTTGATTCTTCATATGTGTTTTTCCAAATTTGTCGGGCATTTGGATGGTTACGTTATTCTGAGTGCGGAAGCGACTGGCCTTTTCTTCTCTTGTCGACATGGCTTCGTCGTACCGGAGCCTGCTGGCAACTGTGAAAACTGAGCTGGTGGAAGCCAAGAGAGCCTCTCAGCACCGAATTGAGCTCTTTCACGCTCTTGAGACATTTCTTCCCGATTTCCAAGCTTTTCTTGAGCTTTCTGTGCGTTTCCTTTCCTTGACTATATTTTTTTATAGAAATTATTTTAATTGTATTATTGTCCATTATGTTTTTGTTTTTGGTTTCCCTTCACTTCAATTAGTTTAATCTCAAACTTCAAGCGGAATTGGGTTTAACCCTATGTGCTTTGATTTCACCATTTTAAGGATGTCCCCATGCTCGCTTTACCAATTCAATGGCATTGTGATCGTTGCAATGTTGGATTGTACATTGTGTGTGTGCATCTTCATTTGTCGAATTTCGCAGTTAATTGCGGATTTTAAAATAGGGTTGACGTTTCGTCGACGATTAGTTTAGTGCATCTCATCACCTGTGATCCAACTGAAGTCCATTCTGAAAAAGGATTGGTGTTGCTGAAGAGATTGTTCGCATCTAATTTATTTTTGGTTTGGGCAGTTGGGGGATTCACTGTCGGTAGTAATTCAAGAGTATTTAAGATCTTTAATCTGCCAGGGTTCGCATTGTCTTGCTCTAATTTTGCATCCTAATTACCACTTTCGATCCAACGATTTCACTTGCGTGCGAATTATTATGCAGTTTCTTACATTTAGAGATTTCGGAAATGAAATGAGGAAGTTCATAACGCCGCGAAAAGATATACTGGAAGGAGAGTCTTTAAACTATTCACTGCCTTCTTAGTGAAACTTTCCTGGTCGAAACGTAAAGCTTACAACTTAATGCTCCACGTACTGAAGTTCCTATTTATTTGTGATTCTTATGTTTTTCGGTGTTTTTGAGCAATTGCATTTTCGTATTGGCAGGGTCCTACAGCAAAGGATAGAGCTCAAGTCGTGAATTCTCAACCTACTTCACTTGGGAACCAAGATGTACAGCTTGTGAGAGCTCTTAGGGACCTCCTTAGTTGCAAGTTATCATTTTCCCTTAACTGAATTCTCTTGTGACCTCTGGTTACGTGACGACAGTTTTGGTCTGATTGTATATCACCATTTATCTTTTAGTCAATTTTCACAAGATACACAGCGTCTTGGTTGTGTGGTCCTTTGTCCATCTGATCCAAGAAGGATGGGATGATCGAGAGTCGATAGACTCACGAAGAGTTTCTGTGATTTATTAACATGTTTTAGGCCGCAGTTTGGTTTAACTTTTTGTAATGTAAGAAGTGCTCTTCCTTTCTGAACCACGTTAGTTGTTTGATGTGTTGTATTACAGGTGCTAATGCTGAGCGATGCCTTTAAACTGAATGAGGTCTATTGCGCGAGCTTGGTTGCTTCCGCGCATGAGAAGGTCGTTCAAAGATATTCATTCTTTGTCTGCATTGTCTTACTCTATGTAGAGGTCATTTTTAGGGTTGGCCAGGTTCTCATGTTTTGCTGGTGTTGATTTATCGAAGTCTAGGAACTTGCAGTGATTCTACAGTTTTGTACGTGTGGAGAAATCACGAAATCGTTTCTACGTCATGGAGTTCATATTTTGGTCGCCTTGCAACGGAAGGACGTGTTCAGCTTATGTTTGACCTGCAGTTTATACATGAAATTAAGTTAACGAGTAACTGTCTTTGAAAGGACGAATTACGTAGCAATTTGTGTGTAGTAGTCTGCACGTGTCGTGAAATTCTGAAAGTCGCGGAAAACTCAAATATTTGTTCCCCTTCTTGGCTTTTATACAGTGTAATCTGCATGGCTGTGGACGCCATGAGATGATGCAAATATTAGCTGGACTTTGGTTCACGGAACGAGATTCTTTAATTTCATCTTTGCAACTCTTACTGCACGTGAGTTCTCCGTTCAGGCCAAGGAATATGAGTATTGACTAGGAGTACTCTCAATTTGGTTATGTATTAGTTGTTCATCATGAGGTTCATACTTTATCGTTCGAATTTGTTATTAAACAGTGTTGTTGACCTTGTTTTAACTTGTTGCACAGACACATGCACGTATCTAGTAGTCACTAATTTGAAAAAATTGTTTTATTTCAGGCTGTGGCTCTGGACAAAGAGTTGGATCCAGTTTTTGTTGCAAAAGTTCGAGTATACATTGAGAAATTTCTAGATGCTGGAATTCGAACTAGGATAATTAGACTAATAAAGGTATAATATTTCATTTTCGGTGTTATTCTCAGCTCGTTGTTTCAAGGCTTATTCAGAACAAAATTGATTCATAGACATAAACACCATGGTGTTGAAAGATGCGCATGTTCTTTACTGCTAGAATTCTATTTTGTGGCTGTAGTGTATGACTAGCCTTACCTGGGTGTCTAGGTTTCATAGAAGTTTAAGCTTTTCATTTTTTATGTGGAGTTCCCTTCCCTGAAAGCATGATTGTGTTCAACTTGTTAACCATAATAACTTCTTGACAGTATAAGTAGTCTTCTACAAGAACTCTCGATGTATTGGTGCAAATAAGCAGCTTCACTACTCGGGCTTTGTATGCTTCTCATCCTATCCTGTGAGTAAAATCTCTCGCTGTTCTATGACTTGACCGCATACTGATCTACATTTACTTCATTACAGGGATTGAATGAAGATTCAACTAGGATAAAAGATAGGGGTTCGGAAACCTACATCAAGGATTCTACCGGAGCCCTAGTGGAACGCTGTGCTGCAATTCAAAAATCACGTCTTAGCCTGTGCCATTGCCTGTATCTTAGTTGTTTTATTACTCCTCTAAGTACATCTCTATTCAACTCTTTCTCCTGCTTTGGCCTTTACAATCGCACATAAATTCTGACTGTAAAGCATGCATTTATTCATTCTTCTGTTCTGGATTGCTCAGCCCTGTCAAGGGAGACTTCATTCAATGTTTGTTGATCATATTGTTGCGGATAAGCATGTGCTTGAGGCTTCTGTATGGATATTGAAATGTAGATGCGCAAGAGGTGAAGGATCTGTATAATCTGCTGAAGGTCTGTTCTAACGATGGGAGCCTGCCTCATGATGTTCTCAAGTTGCAGGTGGGTTCTGAAAAGAACATATTCAGTTTTTGCATTGTTTATTTGTTATTTTAAGTTATTTTCACTTCTAATGTATTTGCACCGTGAGTTGCAGATTGCGTACACAATCATGTTCTCGCTCACCAATGCATTGGTTTCAGGAGCAGAAGGTCCTGAACAGACGAGCGTCATGCTTGCTCTTGATGTGAATTTCTGTCAGGAGTTTCAACATCTGGTAAAAGTTCTTACAGAGTATCCTTACCTTCAAGGGGATTAAGACATGACTGGCATTCAAGTTGTATTATCTCAATTCTTACAAGCAAGGTCGTACAAGTAGATCAGTACTTGATTTTCAAATTCATTGAATCTGAACCTTGGCCCAGTTAGGTGAGCTTGGGTGTGAACAACATTGTGTTTCTGTAAGGCATTGTCGAAATCATGATAAGGACATATATGCTTCTTCTTCTTTTTTTCTTTTTTTTTCTTTTTTTTTTCTTTTTTTCTTTTTGTGATATTTTGAATTTTGATACATGGGTGAATATCAAGTTATTGAGGTTTAGCTTACTAATCTATTTGATGAATAGAAACTGTTGACGAGTTCTATTTTCTGCTTCTCAGATTCTGTTTAATTTTTCCTTCTGGTAACTGTGTTCTTACACATTTCAGTGCGAATAATTCAAGTTGGTATTTAAACATCTGCTCATTGTTTGTGAGAATGCTTCGCTCTGTTTTGCTTCTGCAGATACTAGACGTATCAGAATTAAAACCTTTAACAGAGGGATTTTTGGAGGTAATTCGATTAGCGTGGGTAACAAGTCGAATGATTGCCAAACAAGCCACCGAAGTGACTAAAATTGGGGTCTACATCGAAGATGATGGGGTCCTATACCAATGCTTGAACCGTGCATACGATCATGATGTATTTGGATTTCTGAGTACTCAAGTGTTTGGGACGGCTGCATTTCAGGTTTTCTTTAGTTTCCTTCGTCTTCAATATATTGGTTTTCTTGCAAAATGATTCTAACTGTACCTTTTACTGCAGTAATAAGGGGTATGGCTGTAGAAGGTTATTCCCACACTTCACGTTGATAGTTGTTTTACGTGTAGATAGTTTCCTAGATAATTTTTGTAAAATTATTGCAAGTTATACCCTTTTTTGTTGAGTTTTGAGAATCTAATTCGATCATCCTGTGTTCGTCATTCGTATGACCAGAATGACGAAAGAGCATCAGCTTTTAAATACTCGACTAGTTTGTGTAAAATTATAATGGCCCTTCTCTCACATCCAGCAGGCCGCCAAAAGGTCAGTTCCGTTTCCTTTTTTTTGTCTTTTTTTCTTTTTTTCTTTTTTCTTTCCCCTTGCCTTTTATTTACACTTCTTTCATGGTTCGATTTTCGCTAGTAAGTTTTGGAGATATTGTGTTCAGTAGTGGTCTTGTCCTGTATTTAGTAAGTTGTTTTCTTCTTGGTTCGCTTATTTAGTACATCTCTTATTCTTGTTGTTTGGTTTTTATGCTGGTGTGGTTTACGGTGACTACCAGGTCTTAACTGATGATGGGACCCTCTTGCAGATCATGGACTTAAAATACGCAAGTATGAGGTCTCTGGATATGCGGACAAGTCATGTGAATGATCCTTCTCAAATCAATAAAGGTCAAATACACGCATTGCAGCTCCAAGCACAGCCGCTCGTTTCATTTTTACATTTTGCTAGGGAGGTTTTCCAGGTATGGATGCGGCACTTAAGTCATTGGAGAAGATAATGTCAGACGAGTTCTTTGACAACTTCATAACAAGTTACTTTGTGAAAGATCACTAACTCTGGAGAGAGTGATACATGTGATAATTAACCGGAGAGTCGAATTTACAATTTCTGCCGAACTTTTTATTTTTAAGACTTTATTCTAATGTTTTTGTTTTAGCCTATCCAGTTGTGTTGCTGGATCTATTTATTTAGAACACGTTTACGTATAATTAAGATGTGACAATTGTTCATGTGTATTGTAGTGGGTGATAATTGTTCATGTATAATGTTAATTAATATTTCAGAAGTATTATTTTGAGCAGTTCACACTAATAGGTTTTTGCACGCCATTTCAATTTTGAATTTATAGTAAGTCTAAGCTACGCTTCAATGCTAGAATGGCACTCTTTACACTCCCCAATACATCAATGTCATGCTCCGTTTACTACCCTCTGATTAGCCCAGTTTACGCCTGGGTAGTACTTTTTTCTAATGAGACAATTAAACTCTGGAGAGAATGATACATGTCTTTACGCCTGGTAGTACTTTTTTGAGTTGTTTTTATTGCGGACTGCTCAGAATGATTTCAGGTAACAATCGAAGCATTGATCTTTTCAATGCGTTGACTCCTTGTCGGGTTTATGACGCAGAGAGAATCTGAACTCATCATCGACAATGAAGATCTCTGGAGTTTTGTTCAGTTTGCAGGAGGACACACAAGCTACTTCACTGTAGTTGCTTTTCTTGATATGCTCGCATCATTGGTAAGGAGTTATTGAACATATTCATGATAGAAAGTATGCTACGGAAAGAGTTGTTTCTATTTACTGAAAACAATTTTAGAACACTCGCGGTTCATAGCTGTTACATTTCTGCTTTGCAGGACTTTCGTGGCGTTCTAAGACTCTTAGAGGAGTTGAGCTGATGGTAGAAATTTTGTTGCATATCCAGGCCGAGTGTAAAGGAGGAGCAAGGAAGGTTTATGATTTACTTCAAAAGGGAACCATCTGTAATCTTGGGTGGCAAATCCTTTTTACCTCGTTGGTTGTGTACGAGCAACAATTACGATCTCATGTGGAAACTTCAAAGGGCTTTTTTTTACCCTTTTCGGAAGGAGATGCACGTGTTCTGGAGGCATATCTTAAAGTTCTGAAAAAGGTTCTTGCAATATGCTTCATTTGTAACTTGATAATTGCATCCTTTTGATTTTTAGGAATGTTGCATCATAGTTCGATTGTTTTTATTTATGAAAAAATTTCGGTGGACATGGATGGTGTCGTAGGTGATTGAGAATGGTGATGCAATGGAAAGAATGCATTGGTTTGGGGATGTTGAGCCACTCTTCAAAATGTTACCTTGGCAAAACGTGCCTCCCTTCTTAAAGGTTGGTATAATTCATACCATAATATTAATTTGATAATACTTTATTGATATTAATTTGATAATTGATTTATAAATAACTCATTGGAATTGTTGACTGGATTGTATTGCATTGAAGCCAAGAAACAAATTTGCTGATAGCTAGAATTGTAAGGGCTGAAATCGCAGTTTCAATTATCATCACACTTTGTTTATGAATTAGTTGAATGCAACAGATGATGGTTGGTTGTTTTGCAGCTGGCACTTGCTTGAATTTACAGGGTGAAGGTTTTGAGAGTTTCTTACTCTGATGTTTCTTTTACAGGGTGCATTACGAGATGCAATTGCGGCCTTTGCTTGTGTGTCATCTGTCATGATGCAGAAGGTCTATGGACTGCTGCAGGAGTATGACTTGCCGATTTCTATCACACCTTTTCCAACTGATCGTTGTGGACATCACTCACCAAAGCAGGTACAGTTTTGTCATATAGTTTTGATGGCATTTGATTATTTTCATCATTATTTTCTTTTTGAAGTTGAATGCTGTTCCTATCAAGGGTTATGTAACTCTACCAAATTATGCCAACTTATTGGTGAGATTTAGTCAATATTAGATTTCTTTATGTTATCTGACAAGATTGGTTAACTGATGAGGTTTTTGAATCTTATGCATTTCCGGCATTCAGTTTCTTGACATGGCCTATGAGCTCAATGAGGTGGAGGCCAAGCAGAAGGAATACCTTTCTATTATCTCATATTTGAAGCTGCGCAATGTTCTCACCGCTCATGAATTTGAAACTAGGGGTGGCACGTATGTATTTGTCACCATGCAAATTGTTTCCTATCTTGAACGTATTTGATTAGGTGTAATTTCTTTAGAATTTGCGTCTAACCGTAGGGTTTCTTAATAACAGAATGCATACCAATAGCACGCTTGTATCTATTGGCTTTCACTGATTTGTAACCTTGATTCTGCAAGCAAATTTACCGTATGTTTTTCTTGGTGCATTGAGATATAATGATAGTTGCAGTGCTTTTCATTTTTGATTTTGATTTTTATTTTTATGCATATCTGCATCGTTTAACTAAATTAAGAGATTCACGTTGTGTTGTAGGTGTTTTGACTTTTTCCAATTCGTACGGGACCAGGTTTTTGGACGTTATGGGCATAGACTATATGCTAATCCTGCTGAGAAATGGGAGCTCGTTGTAGCAGCCCTTCATTATTTTAAAATGTGAGGGTACATCTCTGACCTCATACAGATAGTGTTTGGCAAGAGGTTGCATCGTTGATCATATACTATATCATATTAATTTATGATGAACTTATGATCGGTTTTGTAAATCTTCCTAATATTTCGAGTGATATATCTCTAATACTTGTGGCTAGATGGGCAGCATGCGTTAAATTATCAGAAATCAACCAGTGTGTTCTTTTCTTGATTCATTTAGTGTAGTCAAGGATTCACAAACAGAATTCTCTTTTTCTTTATGAACGATCTGAGTGCTTGAACTTTTATAAAAGGGCTAAGTTTTTATATATGATTTAAGTGTTTCTGTGCTTGTCAGGATAAAATTTCACTGCCATGTGTCCTCAATTCTTTGATTTTTTAAGTTTAGCAGATAAAATAAATCTCTTTTACGTACATGTCTGTCTGAGGAAATAGCACAAACTGGTGCGTCCGCTTTTTTTGGTCAGTATTCTGATTGAGGGTTCCGTAGAGAGCAATTATATAGGAAAGTTTTTTGTGGCGAATACTTCTTGTCTGTTGTTGATACTTATTCATTATAATCTGCAGATTAATGAGTATTTATGAGCCCTCAAACAAGCATGTAAGGAAGGATGTTGATGTTGGTCTTTCTTTGGACCAATCCTTGCCGCGTATGTCAACTACGCCCTCCGCAGCAGAGCATACAAGTGCCAACCCAGTTATGGAGTTGATGAAGGTACTGAGAGAGATTAGTGCAGCAAGATAACCTAATGGATGTTTTTCGTGTATTTTTTTTTTGTATGCTTTGTGGCTTACAATGTCGCCGTGATTTAATGTCGGGGTTCTGCAAATATTTTCATATTCAAGAAACAATGGTCTTGAGAACCTTAGAAAACCATCTCAAGTTTATGCAAATATTATTACTATAATTGTTGTTCCTACCTCTGCTAGGGAAGGGTCATGATGTTTTGCTCTTTCTAATGGAATGATACCTGTCACAGGACCTAAAGAATGGTGAAGTAATCTATGCCAATTTGATGGGTATATTAATGCTAGGTGTAAATTCCTTATCGGAGCAGCGCGCAAGCCAGCTTTGTGGCCGAATTTTGGAGGACGCTATCTCTTTATCGTTTCAAATATTCATACATGCTTTTTTGAAAGAATCCCAACTTGGAGAAGCTTGCTATCCTTCATTGCAGGCATGTCCTTTGATAGTTAATTTTAAGGATTAGAGATATGTATTGTAAGATCATTCTGTTTCAGAATAAGGTCAAAATTATAACTTGTATATTTGAGTTTGTTAAGGTACTCTTTCACCGTTGGGCTGTGATCAATTTTTAAGATCGTTTGAGTTGGAACTTGTGATTGATTATTTGTTACTTGTCAGCTGTATTTCTCGCTGGCTTTTGAATTGCATATGAATTTGCGAGGAAGAAACATTCTCATCAGGTTCTCATACTTAGATGACTTATCTGTAGATTCTCTTATCTGCGTGTTTATGTCTGGGTGTGTGGATTTGGCATGTGTTACAGCAGCCATTACATGAAACTATTTCTCAAGATCCTCACCAAGTAGTGACGCTTTTGGAATACGTGCGATATGATAAATCGAAATCGATACAACGGCAATCTTTGAAAGTCATGGAGCTTTTAAGGTATGTTTTTGTCGATTTGTTGCTTATCGATATTGCTGATCTTATCAGGTGCTCGGCATCAAGTTAACTCAGGTGCACAAAATATAGTTGATGTAGATTTATGGTAGCAGATAAGAGAACGAGATGTTAGTGAAGAGTTTCTACCTGTATTAGTGGACGGGTTTAAGAAGTGTATGCATTTGATTGACATGACAATTTGCAAATGCTCTGGCTGATATCTATTATTGAAGAAGCAGGAAACTGCAGCTTTTTCAGTCGAATAGTTACTATAGTCCATCTGAAATCTTCATTGGTTCATTTGACAGTGCACAAGTACCGACTCTGGTGTCTGTATTGCAAGAAACAAAGGCGTCACTGAATATCATAGAGGGGTATGCTGCTTGCCTAGACGCCCGCATCTTGGAAGCCCATCCGCCCGAGAATCCTGATGAGGATGTTGGATCCCTTATACTTCGAGTATGGCTACTTTCCCTGTTCTGATGCAAATCTTTTGTTGCTTCATATGGTTCCTGTGGGTAGCCTTTTGTAGCTGTGCTGTTTTTCTCATCTCCTGCACATATGTTATACGGAAGCATTTATCTTATGCCAGTCTGTTCGATACCGATTAGCATTGCAATGAAGCTGTTTTCATCCTTCCTCGTGGATATAGACCCGCAATATTCTGGTCAGGAGTGCCTGTTATATGGATGTTTGCGGATCATGTATTTTTCTGAACTATTCCTTTTAACTGACAGTGTTGATGTTTTGGTGCAGCTTCTGCTTGTGAATTTACCTAGGCCGTCTCCAAATTTGACTCATTTACTTTTAGGATTTGATGTCAACCAACCCATGGAGAAGACGACAGTTCAGCCAAACTATCATTATAGGTAAGTAATGTAACAATGCTAGAATTTTTCAATGTTACAAGTATTAATTACGCAATAAACTCATATCTTTGCATGCATTGGTAGATATGAAATTTACCCACGCCCGTCCAATTTTTGCAGTTGCCTTACTGTTATACTTCACATCCTTGACAACCTTGCGAGGCCAGAGGTGAATGCTCGACTGCATGAACTTTGTTTTCAGGTGTGAACCTCTATCACACAACCCAGTAAACAAAGTTTGTGGTTAACTGCCAGATCGTTGTGTGACGTTTGTTAAATTATTCGAAGTGTAATGACCTCGGTTGCTATGGTCTTAGTATTTGTTGTTTGTTTTGGAGATCTGCAGCTTCTTGTGTGAGTTGTGTTTTTTGAAGTCCTTGATCCTTGGTGTTATCAAATCGTCTTTCAGAACATGATATAATCGTTATTGTTTATTATTGCATAGAGGTCAATAGAGTCCTCATGTGAATTTCTTTGTCTTTCTGCTGCAGTTGCTGTATGAACTTTGCGTAGACTCAATTACTTGCGGTCCTATGGTGGATCTTTTGCGACATGGGAAGTACGACTTTTTGCCAAAGGTTTGCTTTTCTTACCTCGGGTGATTTTGTGTTAGATTCATTTTTATTCGGGCTCGCATCGATCGCCGTTATTTCTTGCCTCAAATTGGAGTTTTAAAGTTTCATTGAGCAGTTACTGTGTCAGAAGAAAAATCATAGACTTCATTTTGAAGGTCATAGCCATCTCTCTTATATTTTATCTAATTGTATCTTCCTGCCTTTGCTTGAGTTGCAGACATCCCGTACCAGCCACGACACGTGCATGGAGAGAGGTAATTCTTCTATCTCCGGTACGGATCTTTGCTCCTCTGAAGCTCAAGATATGGACCTTCAAGTATGCGACTTCGAGCCAGTTGCTGGATCAACGCCAGGAACTTCAAGCAACAGCAAACCCGAAGTAGGCTTCTTCAACCCAGCACCTCTTGCCACTCGCTGTACTACCAAAGAGAATGGTGGACCAAGTGCAGCAGGTATGGCCGCGCTTAGGTCGTCGTGGATACAACGACTTTTCCCTGGAATGATGAATGAAGGTGCTAGGCCCTTTCAATCGAATGTAAGAGAGCAGCTCGTTCCTCCTGTTTATGAAAGCACTGAGCCTCTTCTTATAGAGGATGTGTCGAAGTCGTTTGAAGAATTTGGATCGTCTCCAGAGCTTGTTGGTGCTAGTCGATACCAAGGAAGAGAGAGTTTCTATGATGCTGTAAGGTCAGGCAAACCAGAGGGAGGTAGTCACAAGGAGTTCCAGTATGAGCGCAGCAATAGCTCTCAACCACCACCAGCTGCGATCTGCAGGAAGGGGCCAGTTCCAGCTAGAGAAGGCTGTAGAGCTGCTCAAGGCGTAGAAAATGAATATCTCTGCGCTGAGGTGGGGTTGATGCAAGACAGCGTTTTTCCTTGTGAGAATTCTACAAGAGTTATTGATGAGCCAGCTTGTGTTCGGCTACCCCTTGATTCTCCAAGACAGCAAGACTTGATGCTGCAGAATCGTATGGATTGTGACGCCAAAGTGCCACCCCCAAATTTGAAAAGGTACGAAGAGACTACGATATTTCAAAATATGGGTAGACCATTAGAACTGAAAATTCAAAATGAGAGCAATTTGCAAATCAGCGAAGCAGGTGATTTTCCAACTGAACATGAAGCACTGAAGAAAAATCAAGTTGATACCGACAGAAGAAGCATGCCTGAAGAACACTATCTTATCCAATCTCATTTATTAGTCACGAATAACGTAGCCCGAAGATCCCAGCATCATGAGCGGAATCGATATCCACTTAGCGGTCGTACCACTTGCAATAAAACGGCAGGTCAGCCAGGATCGTTGTCAACCAGGCTCAGGATGTCGGGATTGCCTCCAGCGGACCCAACTAATGAGGGCTACTCGGAATATTCATTAGGAAGTAGAGCATTAGGCAGGGAGGAGCCGAGGGAGGATATTGAGCATATGGACGAGAACGTGGGATATCAATTAGAGCATAATATAAACAAAGGGAAAAATGTGGACTCATCTCCTCTTTCACCTTTACCTCTATTTGCTCCTTTTAAGCACAGTGAGAAACGACGAGACGCAGAGTTTGAGGGAAGAAGTAAAATGGTTCTAAGTTTGTCAGGAGAAACTCTATTGACACCACTGTTCCCCCTGGGTGATTACGAAAACGACAAAATTAACAAGCAAAGTGGTCCTGATGTTCATAAAGACAAGTTTGGTTCAACAATATTTTCTCATTACAAACCATTCTTCTCTCATGACAACCACCCCGGAGTTCGTGGATCTGAGACACCCTTAACATTAACACCTATTTTTGCGCCTTTCAAGCCTAAGCAAGACCAGAATTTTTCTCCTTCATCCTTGAGCAAAACGGAGTTTCTACCGGTCAATCTCACGGGACAAGATGGTGCTAATGCAGTGGTGCAGCGAACCAAAGTCAAAGTAGACGTTGTGTCAGATCTAAATCTTCGACAAGCGGATCATAGGGAACAATCAGGCAATCAGTTCACTGCGCATGAACGTGTCCCGTCCGTTTATTCTAGCCCTCCATGGGCAGGAGTTGCCAATCGTAGAGACACTGCTGTATTTTCAACCAACTTTGGTCCACGCTTTAATGGAGATGAACATCGTGGGGTGTCACCTAATATTTGCGGGTCTACCTTCAAAGAGGGAAAATATACAGTGAATACCTCTGCAAACGAGTTAAGAAGCAAGAAACCAAGTTTGGAGGAAGAAAGAACCGATCACGGCGAATCATCACAGATCAAGAAGGATCTTTATGTGACAGAGTCACATAATGTACAAACGAGTGTCTCACAAGGTACAGGGTAGTGTAAAAGGATTTGTTTGTACTATTCTAACTCTAGAACCTGGTTATGTTAATGCTTGGGGCATAATTACTTGTTTGAGTTTGTTCTTCTGCATATCTTAGGTTTCTCTGTGATTGGAACTTGGATTTCTAAGAGAATTTTGTGGTTTTAGGCCTTGCTGGCATTTTCACTAGCCTGAATAAGTTTTAAGTCGTTATAGTATGTATGAAAAGAATATTGTGTTTAAAAGGTGTACAATTTCCTTTGTACATGATTGTGTTGACAGAATTTGTATATGTGTTGCCTCTGATAGGGATGAGGGAGCTCTTTCAATTCGATAATGATCTGCAGGTGCAATTTCCTTCTATTGTGCTTGTGATTAAATCACTGTAGAGAACGGTAATTATGTTTGTCTGGCGTCTCGAAGTCAATTAATTATGTACTCTTGCTCGTTTACCTATTTAATTGTTAAATACAGATTTGTCCAAAAAAACTAGGTACTTAATGACGAAGTATTTTTTTTCACATGTATCGTATGTCCAATTTGATATTGCTGATCTGGGAGTCCTGGAAGCCTGCATTAAATCCGTCTTTGGTTTTATTTACTTGCAGCAGCAACTGAATACTGAAACAAAGGCAATGAGTCAGTTAAAACCCTGGAGCAATTTGGTATCGGAGGCAAGCAGCGGATCTTCGCCTGTACTTGGTGATGCTGTGTCATGCGGCATCCAACGTATATGCTTGCCATCTCAATCTTCTGAGAAGCTCTTAACATCAACTGATTCTACGATGTTGGTACCTCCTCCAAAGTATCTTAGCAAAGAAAGGCATCAACAAGTTAAAGTCGACTTAGAAGCGACCTCAAGTAGTAGGGTGCAAGGTGGTAATGTGTTAAATGAGGCAAGTGCTTTGGTAAAAGATGTTGAGGAAGAGAATTCACTCTTCCGTAAACAGACATTTGGGAGTACTGCAAGACTCTGTGATGATGCTCAACGCCCCGATGTTTCTCCAAGGGGGAAGTCCTTTGCAAACAAGGAAGCTCATGGTTTCAGTGAAGAGAAGAATTTGTGTCATCAATCAGGCCATGCCAAGTGTTCCGACGCTCAAGGTGTCAGGCAAGAGAGATCGTCCAAGAAACGTAGTCATGAAGCGAGGACTGGTGAATCAAATTTTGCATCCCAGAATTTCGAGTCTCTCCATGGTGCTGGGCCTCAAATCGAATCTGGTGTGGAAGAAGATTCTCGAACAACTCCGCGTCCGCAGCCGTGGCTGCAAAGGTGGATGCCAGCTTCGAAACCTGCGGTTCCTGTTTTTAAGGTCCCTCAAAGTTACCCTTCCCCAATGGCTACTGAACAGTCTTCATTGCATGCTAACAATCCTAATCTTGTACAAGACAGCACTCCACATGGGAATCGGTTGGATGCAACTGGCGTAGACAAGCAGGAGCAACACATGTCATCAGCAGGGGAGGGATCAAGTCAATGGGCAGGATCTGATTTTGACCACTATCATAGGAGATCCAATCCTCTTCGCCAAGGATTTTATCAATTGCCTAGTGCAGCAGCTATGGCACTAGTAGGTGCTGCTAGTAAGAGAGCTGTTCCGTTGCCACCTCAAAGATCAGTGGGAACGCGGATAGCTGTGTGGCCGGCAATCGCTGGGATGCAATTGCGACGGACGAAATCAGGGACTCGGGAAGTATCGGCTCCACAAGTCGAAGTTGAAGTAGTTGTAGAAGAAGGATGAGCAGCGGATTATGGTGAAGGATTAATTCGTGACCGAGCTGCAGCATTCTTGAGCATATATCTCAGAGGTGTCAAATCGTTGTATTACTGATTCTCACTTCGTTAGTCACCCGATAGCCAAGGAAATGACTTGTTCTCTGTGGTGGGTGGGTGGGTGAGTTGCTCGTGACTCGAATTATTTTGGTATAGTTGCTCATCTTACGCACGTTGCTGTAACTGAGGGCAAGGCTTCTGATCTGTTGTAAGTGATTGCTCAAGTTTTCATTGGGAGGAATATGGATCTGTTCCAAAGTGATAGTAGATGCTTTGGTTATAAGTATTTGGCAGAAGTTTCAGCTTGAACTGCTGTATTATAGGTTATTGGAACCCACTTTAATCCTGCTATGGCTGTGATATCTAGTTAAGGATTAGCTGACGATGCACTTAGCGAAGTGGCGGTGACGTACATCTAAGATGAGTAGATGGAACTCTGCTTGTCTCACTTCGCAGTAACTCTAAGCAAGTGAGTTCTGCTCATCAATGCCAGTAATGGCGTTATTTTTAAGCCGGTTGATGTCATACGGTTTTAATTGAGTTAACTAATTTTTCACCTTGTTTCAAATTGCAGGATATCCCATGAGCTCTTTCAGCTGTTTAGGAGCGCGAGATAATTGGGAAATTACAGGAGCTCTGGTTTTGTGCTCTGAGGGCCTTCCCTGTCTTTTCATCGGATACCAAACAATGTATAACAAGCTGCGCGGGCTCTGATGAGACGTGAAGATGCATGAGATTCCATCTTAAGAAAGCTGGACAGAGTCCTTACAGCACGGAACCTAAGCCTATAATCATCTTTTATGATACTCTTGCTCGATTAGTCTGTTGGGTACATTGTTGACAAGAAGACGAAGCATTTGGGTTTCTATTCTTATACATACCGCGGGATCCAACTCATTACTTCAGCCCATCTCGGAGAGGGGTATTGCTCTCGCAACGTGAATGCAATCGATGGTGTACATTTTAGATAAATGGAGTTCCAGCGGATGCGCACGGTCGCGTTTTCTATAAGTGATTTTAACTTTTTTTTAGTTTTTCTCGTTTTCTGGTTTTTGGTTTTAGTTTTAGAATGAGCAGTAGTGACATGTATTCGGTCGAGTGAGACCCTTCCTGATATACTCCACTCAAACGCGCCTGCATTTAAATGTGCTCTCTGCCATCCCTTTCATACAGGAAGTAGAACATTTTCTACATAATAAAACAAAGATCTGAAACACACTAAATCATTGACGATTCTTGTTAGAGTCGCCTCACTTGTGGGACCTCATTCCATATGTGCCCATGCATTGCTTCGAATCATGCATCACTGTAGTAAGTGGGATAAGTGAAACGCATGTTGTCGTGTGACTTGCATGACGCTGAGAGTACACCTCGAGAACACGTGGTGTCCCATATCTTAAGCAGTAAGTAGAGTTGAAACCGTCCATTGTGTGAGACCCACCTTGATGTATATTAGGAGCTCCAACCTTTGCCAAAATTTGATCATTAACCCAGGAATCTGTTACGAAAGTGAGACTTTCATTGCCGTGCATTCATATCGGATAGGCAAATGAGTTTGTGAGCAATCCAGCATGAGTTGTATGCACCTTACAAGCTCATTACTGTGAGGCTTGCTGCCACTGCTTGGGCTAGATCTTCAACCTACAAGGCTTTAGAAATTCTCCCCTCGTGTGACGAATGCTAAACAGCAAAGAATTGCACAATGAGAAATCTTGTGGCCACCAAAGCATGGTTTGAGTTAACATAGAGGAAACGATGGACAAAACGGTAAAGAATTAAAACGGATTCTTTAACTCAATATCGATGTGATTTTATCACCATCGTCTTTTATATCTTTCAAAGTATCCATTTGTCAAAGTATTCTTGGTGGTGTTTGGGAGCTCTTGACGAGAAACAATGCTTGTAGATTGTTTTCACAAGCCCTGAAATTAGAAGATGGAAGGCAGTGTGTTTTGCTCCTACAAGGGATCGTTAAAAAAAAAAAAAAAAAAAAAAAAAAACTTAAAATTAAAATTAAAAAAAAAAAAACTATACCTGTAATTCTTGTACTGTTGCAGAATATGTGAAGTATGGAACTTCAGGTAGAACAGAGGTTTTAAGGTTATAAAAGCCAAAATTTGAAAAAAAAAAAAAAAAAAAAAAAAAAAAAAAAAATCAACAAGGAAGATTATTCAATAATTGGTTTATGTGATTGAATTTTCTATCAACTTTTTTTTTTAGTTCTTTTTTAATTAATATTAATAATTGCTCAATAACATTCCAATCTTAAATGAAACACTTTTTATGATTTTTAATTTATTCAAGAGAAGAAAAAAAATCGAAGCAATTTATAAAATAAAAATTTAAAAAAGTATTGATTTTTTTAGAATAAAAACATTAAAATATATATATATATATATATATATATATATATATATATGTATTTTTGTAAATTAAAGAATCATTCTAACTAATCATAAATTCCTACTAACAAAAGTATTGTATTATAGTATAAGATGACTTTTTAAATGATATTTGGTACTTACAAGGTCTTGGTGGTTTTGAGTTAAGAGAAGATGGTTTATATATTTTTAATACTAGATTACCAAGAGAACTTTATTTGGAGTTATTACTATAAACTTGTGGCTTATTTTAAAGGTTATAATGAAAGATTAACAAATAAGTTTTAGTTATATGTTAAAATACATTAAATGCACTCTGATTCCTCCTAGTATACAATGAATAAAACCATGACAGAGTTACAAAAGCATCACGAAATGACTAAAATATTAATATTAACAATGTATAATAATGTATAATAAATGTATGCATCAATGAAAAGTGGGAAACCCTAACAAGTAACGTTGTGGGGGGGGGGGGGGGGGGAGGGTGTGTGGGGCAGCATTAAGAAAGAAGGGCGTCGTTGGAGATCTCACCTGCCTTCTCGATGTTTGCCACCTTTTCGCAACTTGCTCTGGCTATGGCGATGGCAATGTACAGACTCATCATCAGCATGGCTACGGCCACGAGCACTCCTCAATACCGCAACACCGCTTTCTTCCTCTTCTTCTTCTTCTTCTTCTTCTTCACCACTGTAACACCGTAACACCGCATTTGCGAAGCATCGGCAGGTTTGACATGAGACCCATCGAACTCGGCGCATCGTGACCCTGCTGCAGCAAGTAAGTGTGTGAGGAGGGAGGATTGTTCACGGCGATGCGAGCCCAGTCTGAGCAGCGCCTCTATGGGCCGTAAGGAGCTGGTGTGGGCTAAGGCAGGGGCATGCCTTGTGAGGTTTGCCGCGCAGGATAGCAGATACGCTTCCGAATTGTCGTCTACTGTGTGCAAGCATCGTCCACAGTTCGCACGTCATTTCGCTGGCCCAAGTGCCGGATCCACTTCCTCTGGTGAGCGCCCGCGTAGGCTGAAGCCATGGCTCTCTCTCGCGAGGTTGTTAATAAAAGAGAATGCCGGGAAAGGTCTCCCACATCTTCCTATGATTTTAGGGTTTGCTGCCAGCGGATGTCTAGGCGCTGGCGTTCTTGTTGTCTTCGCTGGAGAAAGCAAACCCCAGGCGCAAGCCATCGCTTCTGATTCCAAAGGTTGGTGCCGGCGCCTTTGCCCTTATGATGTCATCTGCACATCTGCCTGATGCCTCATTTTTTTTTAAAGCTTGTGAAATTTGAATGACTTCGCACAAGATATGAATTCCTCTCTTCTTGCTACTGTGTTTCTCGCTGGGAATGCTGCAGTAGCCAAAGCAGGCACAGGGAAGAAGAGAGTGGTAGTTTTGGGAACAGGATGGGGTGGGATGAGTTTTCTGAAGAACTTGGATTCCACGCTCTACGACGTCTCCATCGTGGCGCCGCGGAACTACTTCGTGTTCACGCCATTGCTTCCGAGTGTGACATCGGGGAGTGTGGAGGCTCGAAGCATCATAGAGCCCGTGAGGAGGATTGTGCGAAGCAAAGGGAAGCAAGTGCAGTTCCATGAAGCTGAGTGCATCAAAATCGACGCTGCGAACAAAACCGTTGTGTGCAGAGACGTATCACAGATGGGACCGTCGGACAAGAAAGAGTTCGCTCTGCAGTACGATTATCTCGTGGTTGCTGTCGGAGCCACAACCAACACTTTTGACACCAAAGGCGTACTAGAGTATTGCCATTTCCTCAAGGAAGTATACGATGCCGAGAAAATCAAAAAGAGTATCCTAACCTGTTTCGAAAGCGCAAGCCTTCCTCATGTAAAAGAGGAAGTTAGGTGCGTATTCGATGGAATTTGTAAAAAGAATCGAAAACATTATATCAAACCTTCAAATTCTGATCCCTATACGAAGAAAAAAAAACCTTGATTACCGTTGCAAGAAGACAACCATGAGTGCATTCGTTGAAAGCAGAACTATTCAATCATAAGCGAAATAACGATTGATATGTATTTAGTTCTGTTTGAAATATATGTTTATATATGTATATTGAAACATCTGATAAGTACACGATAATCGCTGATTTGTACGTTTCGATTTTTATATTATGTTTTTGTTTTCCCCATATTTTCTCATTGCAGAAAAAAACTCTTGAGTTTCGTAATTGTAGGTGGAGGTCCGACTGGAGTGGAATTTGCCGCGGAGTTACACGACTTTATCCACGATGATCTGTTGAACCTCTACCCTCATTTGCATAACGACGTGAAAATCACGCTGGTACAATCCGGTGACCACATTTTGAACACCTATGATGAACGCATCAGCAAATACGCCGAACAAAAATTCACCCGGGAAGGCATTCATGTCAACACTGGTTGTCGTGTGCTCGGCGTTCAAGCAGGTGCCATTGACTTCAAAATCAAGTCCACCGGACAGCTGGTGAATCTACCCTATGGAATGATCGTTTGGTCTACAGGTATGCATTTGCACTTGCACAGTTGATTGTGTACTTGGAGCATTAAGAAATGATGTTACAAGTTGCTATGAATCAACTTCTTAGGGTAACAGAAATTTATGTTGTGTGGTCTAGGCATTGGCACTAGACCTGTGATTGCAGACTTCATGAGCCAAATCGAACAAAACGATCGAAGAGTATTAGCAACAGACGAATGGCTTCGAATTAAGAACTGTGAAGGAACATTCGGCATTGGGGATTGTGCTTCCATTGAACAAAGACGCGTGGTAGAAGACGTCAGCTACCTGTTCCAGTTGGCCGACAAGACGAATTCCGGACGTTTGACAATTGAAGAATTTGTGGAGGTTATGGAACAAGTGCGACAAAGATACCCACAAATCAACATTTACATGGAACGGCAACACATGAGAGGTGTGCTTGAATTGCTAGCTGATGCCATCAAAGACGGACGTCAAGCATCCATCCAACTTGACATTGACCATTTCAAACAAGCAATCAGCAAGGTCCAATAAACAAACACTCTTTCTCCAAATTCCTCTACTCATATTCTTACATCAATTTTATGTTACAAAATGTAAACTTTGTGTATATATATATATATACATATGTTTATATAACTGTAAACTCTCTCTCTCTCTCTCTCTCTCCCTATACATATATATGAGTAAACATTTCATGCAAATTGAGTGTGTTGCTGTGGAGGTGGGTTGCCAGGTAGACAGCCAAATGAAGTCTATGCCAGCCACTGCTCAGGTGGCGGCCCAGCAGGGCGAATATTTGGCCCACTGCTTTAACCACATGACAGCTGAGGTGGCGTCCCACATGGCACCCGAGGGTCCCATGCGCATACGTGGCAAGGGGCGCCACCGGTTCCAGCCGTTCCAGTACCAGCACCTGGGCCAGTTCGCTCCGTTGGGAGGGGAGAAGGCGGCCTATGAGTTACCGGGAGACTGGGTGTCCATAGGGCGGAGCACCCAGTGGCTGTGGTACTCGGTGTATGCCAGCAAACAGGTCAGCTGGCGCACCCGCACCCTCGTCGTCTTCGACTGGACCAAAAGAATGTTCTTCGGCCGCGACTCCTCTCGCGTCGAATGAACGAACGAACGAACGAATTAATCCATGGATTGATGAATGGGTGGATGACTCTGTGCGTCCACCCAATCCCCACGCCCCTCCAATGCCGCACGTGTTTAACGAAAAGGGAGGGGGCAAAAAGAAAGAAGCGGGCTCTAACTTTTCCTTGCCGTAAATTAAAAGTTACCCATCTTCGAAACCAAAAAAAGTTCTCATTTTACATGATATCTATAATAATAATATTACTATCGCCAGTCATAATGAACGAGAAGTTATTAATAAGCCGATTTGGCCCAAAGTGGGGTGTTATGCCTCAAGCCACGAAGAGAACAGAAAAATTGTCTATGGTTGCGTCAGTTGTGTCACCTAGCACAAATTTTAGTAATTATTCCTCTAATAACTGTGGCAAATCCTTTAAAACTTTGAACAATAAAGCTTTTTAATACTTTTATTACAATAATTCAAGATTATTTTTTCTTCTTCTGAATTATAAGGTATAAACTATTAATAAACTGTTTTTACTATTTTTATTTTAAGTATATAAATTCATAATATTTGTATGTTACTGCATGGTAAATAAACATTGTTAAAATTAATCAATTCAATAATCTAAAGTAATAAACTTAATAGATAAATTATTCTTACAAAAAATTATGATAGCAAAAAAAAAAGGTTTTGAAGATCTAAATTTCAGTTTGTCTAAACATTTGTCTTGAATCACATGTACTGTTTTAACAGGTTTAGAATATAATACATTAATAATAGTAATTTATCTCAGTTTACTACTATTTTGGTTTATGTATCTTTGATATACATGTTAAGCTTGCCTACATGTGATTGGTTGTAGGTGAATAGTAAGGTTTGTAAATAATAATGACTATCTTTGAGTATTATTAATAGATACTTCATTTCTAGGTTTTATTAGATATAAAAAGTAATGTAATTTAAAAGATCGTTTTGTTGGCAGCAGAGACATTGATCCTCTTGCAACAGAGTTTAATTATTATATATAATTTTCTTTTGGTAATTTTGTTTCTATAATACAATCTATAAGCCTTTGACAATCAAGCAAGAACGTTGCAAAAGCCTAAATTTAGAGCAATATTTCTTTATTATTTTGATGCAATAAATAAATAAATAAAATTGCACATTTAATAGAATCTCAAATGTTAAATGTGATGCATATCATCTATATATATATATATATATATATATGCAATTTCTTTTTAATAAGTTAAACTAAAAACAGCATTTAAAATCTTTGAATCTGCATTGCAATTGTATTGCATATAATTGTTGTTAATGCTTCTTGTAGAGCCTTTTAAAACAATAATAATAATAATAACAAATCATGTTTGATATTTGCAAACCAATTATATTATTATAAACATATTATCTTAATATTTAATTTTAAAATAACATTTCTAATATAAACTCTTCAAAAAAAATTATTCTCTATATGCAACAATGAACTTGTTACAATTTTCTCAAGAAAAAGAAAAAGAAAAAAAAAAAAAAAAAAACTTTGTAGTGTATTATTGGAGTATTTATTTATTTTTATTCATTTAAAACAAATGCCATGAAATTTCTAGAGATGGAATATACTCTGCAACACATAATGTTCAACTTCATTATTGATACCTCCTGTTTGAGCAGTTTTTTCTATTTTATTCATTCATAAGTGTGTTTGAGAATAGACTTCATTACATATAAAAAATTACTAAAGTAAAAATTACACGTGTATTTTATTGTTAAGTAGGGTGTAGATTATAAAAGAACACCTTGATTGTCCATCTCTTGACTAATGTATACAAAAATTAAAACTACAACCAATTCTCATTAAATTGTATGCATCTATGAAGATAGTTTCAGCCTAAAATTATTCTACAAATTAAAAATAGGAGGTAATTTAACTTGAAAGGAATTAAAAAAATAAATTCTTAAAGCGTGCATTTGGGGGTGAAACTCTTAACCTTGAAAGGTATAGAGAGTCCTCGAGATGAAATATGCCACAATTGGATGATAAATAGGCCATAAGGACTCGCAGAATAAATAACCTATCCATCCATTGTACATCCATCCATTTACATCCATCCATTGTACATCCATCCATTGTACATCCATCCATTGTACATCCATCCATCGAGAAAGTTCTTCTTCCACAGCGTCCTGAGCTTGAGCTTGAGCACAGCGGAGCTCTGGTGTTGCACGATTGAGCAGATTGCGTCGGCTTTGCAGTTCGGATCGTTGGCTTTTGCATGTTCCCTGCCAAACATTCCGCATCTCGGCAATCGGATTACAGTTATTGATAAGGTAGCAGGGAGCATGATATGAGTTTGAATCTTGGTTTTTCAGGTTAGTTATTAGGAGTTGGAGCTCCCAGACTGGAGAGAGTGCACATCCTGTGTGATGCTTTGTTAGTTGGGGCGCGCGCAATGGGTTTCTGCGAGTGTTAGTGAAGTGCATATGAGCTGCGATTCGTAGTACATGATGCAGTTTAGTTGCGTTCGAAAATGGCGTGAGTTGTAAGGTTAGGGGAGTTTAGGGTTTTGGGGTTTATTGGACCGCGCAGAGGATTGCTTCCGGGGGTAAGCGGAGTTGTATCGCTGCGCTCTTGCTTATCATTCGAATAGAAAGATGGCCCAGAATTTGGGAGGAGCTGCGCGGAATGCTGGGAACTGCGTGGGCAAGTTGTGGAGACAGCAGGTGTGGAGGCAGGGCATTTGGAAAACAGACAGTGTACTGAATGGTGACGGAATTGCGACAGTTTCCCAAGCAAGCGGAAGTGTGCCCGAGCTCCGACGGTTTTTCTCTTCATGCAGAGCAGGACAGTTCTTACCCCGGGTTTCGGGACTGCAGAAGCAAGCATTAGACAGGCGGTTTTACTACACCGATCCGCGAGGCGTTGTGCATTTCAAAAAGAGAGGGCCTTCTGTGTGGATTGAAGAAAGTCGCGGTGGTGGTCGGGCGGGGCAGAAAAAGATCCTGATCCTTCTAGGTGCTGCAGGAAGTTTGTCTGCGTATGTATACTTCACCAATTTGCAGACCGTACCCTACACTCACCGGAAACACTTTGTCTTGGTTGGGCCGGGCATGGAGCGTAATTTGGGGGAACAGGAATTTAAGAATGTAAAACTTCGGCTCCTCTGACGAAAATCCATATGATTTTCTCATTTTTGATAAGCTGCTACTGCAATCTCTCGTCACTTTGACCATTCCTGAAATTGTCTACAATTCAACTTGCCTCCCAAATCTTCCGCTCACCGTCTCCAGTTTTGATTCACTTTTCCCTCGAATTTGAAATTAGCGTCTATACTCCACGAAACCGCTGATCCATCCAATTCGCAAGCTTAACTGCAATGCCGTAGTTCACATACGCAGTGCTTGTTGAGAACTAATCTAAGTCCTTCGTTTACAAGAAGTATTCAGGCCTTGTACATCCAACCATTCATGTATGTCAATGTCATAGTGGAGTACTGCATGATATAATTGTTGAGCTATTTGTATTTATTAAATGTATATGCGGTCAGGTTTCATTTGCAGACAGTTTCTACTCTCTAAGTGTATATTGTCAAATGCGCAGGTGAAGCAGGAGATGTCGGCAATGATCCTTCCTCCAATACATCCCGAGAGTGTTCGCGTCCGCAGAATTGCGAGGGATGTGATTGAGGCGACTATGGCAGGGACGAAGACACAGAGCTGGGATCACATGGAGCAGCATTCCCTTATACCACACCCATCTTTAGGCGATGCGCATCCACAACCCAACCCCGCGACTACAAGGCTTGAACCCTACAAGGCACCTGAAGATGTGTATGGGAATGAAAAGATAGAGGACGACATGTGGGTGGATAAGAGCAGAAAGAAAGGCTTGGATCAAGGATCGGAGGGTTACACTGCGCACTTGAATACTTTTAAGTGGGAAGTCATCGTGGTAGATCAAGATATTATGAACGCGTTCTGTCTTCCTGGAGGCAAGATCGTCGTCTTCACGGGGCTGCTCAACAAATTTCGATCAGACACTGAAATTGCAACCGTTCTTGGTCACGAGGTAAATATCATCATTTTCATTACTTTCTGATTGAGCGTGAAGTTCCCAATGTGACACAGATTACGGAGTTTAATTATCATGTTGCTTCATTCTGCAGTTAGGGAAGTTTATTCTTAGTGTTTCAGCGTCTCTGGTTCTCACCTTATTGTCTTCCACTTCTGTTACTTACTGTCACAGGAATGACGTTTTAGCTATATGTCCATTAACTCCCAGCTTTGACCTGAATCGAGTATTGCCAGGTTGGACACGTGGTGGCTCGGCACGGGGCAGAGAAGCTGACGCAGGGAGTGTGGCTAGGCTTCTTGCAGCTCATCGTTCTGTCAATCGTTTATATGCCTGCCCTAGTGTCCAGCACTTCAAATCTTCTTCTTACACTTCCTTTCTCAAGGAGGTAAGCGAGGCCTGGCTATGGCATAACTCTTCTGCAGTATCGTTTTTGACCTCCAATTTGTGGTTCTAACGTCAATTTTTATTATGAATTTCGCATGTTATGTCAACAAAAATATTGTTCACATTATAGTTTGAAACTTCTTTCATCTGTCTTTAAGCTTAGTTTAGGCGTGAGTGTGAGGTTAAGAATGAGGAGTTTCCTTTCAACGAGTCTCAATTACTGGTTGATAATGGGTAACTTGACAATTGCTCTCTAAACCAGTTGCTGTTACTTTACTGCAGTATGAACACCCTTGTCTGCATTGAGATAGCATTATAAATTGCAGTCTAATGATCTTTGAACGAGGGCATGATAGTTTATTTTGACGCAGTTTAGCATCCAATACATGCTTATGAGGTATTGACCCAACCCCATACACGTCTTGCACAGGATGGAGTCTGAAGCAGATCACATCGGCTTGATGCTAATGGCAGCTGCGGGCTACAATCCCAGAATCGCACCTACAGTCTACGAGAAAATGGCTCAATTGGGAAAAGAACCTGAGTTGTTGCAATACGCTTCCTCTCATCCATCTGGCAAGAAACGAGCTGAAGCACTGCGAGAAAGTACCACTATGCAGGAAGCTGTAAGAATATACAGCGACAGATTGGCTGGCCAGGGTGAAATACATGGATTTCTGTGAAGACCAAGTTCTCTATATAATTGCCTTATCAAACTTTGCAGCATGCCCATTCTTGGTATCTTCGAGCAGACGATAGATTCCCTGTATTGAAGCTCCAGAAGTCTGCTATGTGAGCCAGTTATCTGTTTGAACTGTTGTGTTTCCAGCTCTGTAAATAATCGTTCCGGTCACAATGTCTTGCAGCTGTGGTTACAATGTGCAGGACATATGAGAAAGATTACGTAATTCAGAAGCCATTGCTGTGCATTTTATTTATTTATTTTTATAGTACCATAGGTCTCGTCCCAATCACATTAACACGTGCCATTCGATTTCGGCACGTTTCACCAATCATTGTTCTAGTTTATTTTATTACAACAGTACCTGACATTGTTTCACCAATCATTATTTTATTTTATTACAACAGTAACTTCCACGATGAGGTCGGTTACTGGTTAATTATCTAAATTGAGAATCTCATCTAGATTTTTACAAACTTCTGGTGTGACGCTGACTTTTATCCCCGTTAATTTGAAGACGGATATGTACGTTCCGGCTTTTGGGCTCCGTTCATGGTAGTATGAACAAACACAATTCTTAAGCCTTCCTGTAGCTCTTGTCCTGCCCTCCGTAAGCAAGAGCATCGGTGGGGTTAACCACAGTTAGTCCGTTCATTTTCCAGCTTGCAACCCGTCAACACTCATCATCAAATGGCGGATCTGATTGGCCCTCCCATCGACATTGTCATACTCTACTGCTCAAATCAGTGCTTTGCGCGTGAAAGGTTAAGCTTGCAGTATTCAATATCGCCGACGGCATTCATGACTTTCGAAGATGAGCACAGTCGGGGGAGTCGCCTCCACGAATAGGTTGTGGAATATGCTGGGGAGCTTTTGGGCAATTGGGGCTCATGAAATGAACCCTCTTCATCAACGCTGATCAAGGTTTAGAAGGGCTGGTTGTCTTTCACATCTCGACATTAGGAAACAATCAGTCACTGCGAAGAGTTACCGATTTATGGCACCTAAATTCAACACTTACTTATAATGCAATTTTTACAAAGCTAAGCATATTTGAGGATGGTTTTGAGTACCCGAGAAGTTTTTGCGTTTAGTTGCGCGGGCTATGGGATAGAAGAAACCTGGAGAATGATGAGGGCGCCGAATTCGGACAGACAAGATTCCCAAGACTCATCCAGTTTAATTCCCGGGCATCTCAACTGAGGTAGGCGGAGAATAAGAAGTAGCATCAAATGCCCAAGCTCGTCGTTGTTCTATCTGACCCCTGACAGCTCTGGCTCTCAATCCTCCTCGCTCTTTTGCAGTCCCCTTCCCGTTTTCTGTGTCAATCGCCACGTACAGGCTCTGCCCAATTCCACTGCGGACGTTCACAGCAATTCCTGCTTCAACCGAGTTGTCTGTGAGTTCGGTCGGACGCTTTGGTCTGTAATTTGGAAGTGACTGCACGGTAGAGTCTTGGCTCTGCACCTCGTCGATGATGAGAATCTTGGTTGAGCGTTGGGGTCATGCATTTGCGCTGATTTGAAGACAACTGAAGACTAATCGCGGTTGTTTGGGGGTGGTTGCTTTTGCACGAGAGAGTTTTAGATGTTGAAACGTGGTGAGTTTCGGATTTAATCGAAGTGGGGATCAGATTATTAAGTTCCTTCTTGGACCTTGCAGGTGTAATTTGGTTCCTGGAGCAACTTTTGAATGTAGCAGAATTGGTCAGTTTTGTGGGTTCGTTTGATTGATGGTTGGTTACCAGTTTTGGATTACTTTGGTGATATATTTTTGATGATCGATTGAAAATGGTGGGAGGCAGTAGTGGTGTCGGTGCTGGAGATCTCAATTGTTGGTTTGATAGTTTTGCGCTCAGATTACAAGGAAAGATTCGCTCAAGCTCTGTAGCGTTTGAATTTGGTTCCACCACCTCGAGGGGGCTCGGCTCTGGATTCTTTCGTGAAGTTCTTTAATTTGGCGCTCGGTTCAATTTTTCAGACACCAATAAGCAATCGCGTGTTCGTACATTGTTCGCTCACAAAGAACTTCTACAGTCTGTGTTTCAATGACTTTTGGAGTGTTTTCTCCGGTTTTGTTAGCACGACTTCGACGGAATTCGACAGGGTTATCAGCTCTTCTTTAGAACAGATAGATTACACTGCAAATGTTCTTGCAAGATCACCGTATTTTTGTACCGTTTTTGGAGGGTGAATCGTTTCACCTCTGAAAGATATTCGAGCTCTGACATCTGCTTTGAAAGGTGATCGAGCTGAAGAGCAGATGTTAGTTTGTAGGTTGACACCTCTGCATTGCTCGCCCAGATGTTACATAAACTTTCAAGTCACAGGCGCATGAGTTAATTCCAATCCGATGAAGACTATTGTCGAATTCTCCAAGTGCTTGAGATTATTAGGTCCAGATTCAACCCGGGAGTGTTGCAAGAATTGGGGGTTTTAGGAGCGCTGTTCATGGAAAAATTCTCCACGGAAGGTGGACATGTATCGGACTGTACTATCGGCTACCATTTTCGGTGAATGTTAGCATCATGAGGGTTTCCAAATCATCAATCACTCTCCTTACTGACTGGATTTGGTTTTTATCCCTGACGCACGAAATTGTGGGATGAATTTCTTGAAACTGGTATAATCAATATCACGTCGGTTTCATTCGATGGAAATGGCCGCTATGGGTCAATGCAGTGGCGATGAGGTGGACAGAGATGACCCGCTGCTGATCACCACAGTGCGAGCAAGACTCAACAGAGAGAGGAAGGTCAAGAAAGTTGGGCGAAAAATTGTGAAAGAGTTGGTGAGAGATGACAATGAAAGGGCAGATGCGGATAATTCGCAGGAGGAACAAGGCATGCTGAGCCCTCGAAGGTATCTGATAAGATTCTGAAGTTTGGATGGATGCAATATCTGTGATACCTCATTTTCCTAAAGAATCTCAACAAGTGATAAGGAGTGTCTGTAAATAGTGTAAAGTGCAGAGCATGAGAAGGAAATAAATTCTATGTACTAAAACATATCCATTATTATTCCCACTGACATGGTTGGTGACCGTGTGATCACTACCGATTTTTTGTTCAATTTTGGAAGAATATTCTTGGACCTTAAAATCTTTAATACTGGATGTGTGCATGTGTAGGTATCAACAACAAGCCTTCGAAGCAGCATTAAACAAGAACACTATATTGTATTTAGAGACCGGATGTGGGAAAACGCTTGTCGCGGTGCTATTGATAAAATCTCTCGCGAAGAATACGAGATTGGAAAACGACAAGCGCTTGATTGTGTTCCTTGCACCCACGGTTATTCTAGTTCAACAAGTACACACCTTTTCTAGTGCAGAAATTATTAACTAAGTTCTTCGGACTACTCTAAAGTCGATGTCGACTTCATACGTCAACCATACGTAGAAACTTCTGTTCGGGTTCACATTTTGCTGTTTTGAGCTTAAGTTGTGCTATAGCTTAGGTTATACTGCGTGGCTTTAGACTGGAGTTTGGTGCAACAATGACTGCACACTCTTCAAAAACAAAGGTATGCTAATTAAATTCTAACGTTTTGTTTGATTTTGATTTCGGTCAGCAAGCGCGTGTAATCAGAATTCATACCGATTTAAACGTGGGTGAGTACTACGGCTCCAAGAATGTGGATACCTGGAGCCGTGCAGAATGGCAAACCCAGATAGCTGAAGTTGAGGTTTGCACTTGAGCAGAACTCTCTTTTGATTTTGTGTAGTGTAGGATTTTACAAGCTCGCTGCAATCTAGCAGAAGGTTTGAGGTTTTCAGATTTTTGTCACATCAGTCCCAGATCTAATTTTAGAACCTTCGTAGGTCATGGTGATGACACCACAGGTCTTTCTGAACAACTTACAACACGGTTTCTTGAAGATGAACATCGTCGAGCTTCTCATTTTCGATGAATGCCATCATGCTCATAAAAATCACGCCTATGCCCAGATTATGAAGGTAGTACTGAATCTTTATGTTACTCTTAGGACTTCAATTGCAGGCGAGGCTTCTGGCTTGTGCTCATCATCAGTGAAGGGTTTTCGTTCTAAATGGGGGGCTGAGTTTCTATTGGCGTGAAAATAGTATTGAAGTAAATATGAATTCCCCTCACATTGTGCTAAACTTGCAAGAGAACTAAGCTCATCCTGCATGTTGAAATCGCTTGGCGGGACAGGGTTTTTATCACGTTAATGTAGATAAAGGGCGATTGCCGAGGATCTTTGGTATGACTGCATCGCCTGTGACAAAAAAGGGTAAATACAATACCTCTTCCCGGTTGATGATTAATTACAATGTCTTGTCCGAGTTACATCCCCTTTGACCTGCTCTAACTCTTTTTGTTTATCAAGGGGTGAAATCATCTATCGGAGCTGCTGAACAACTCTTTGGGCTAGAGGACTTGCTTAAATCTGAGGTAAACATCATGCATTTTGCATGCATCAATGTATTATATATATATATATATATATATATATATATATATATATATATATATATGTGTGTGTGTGTGTGTGTGTAAAGACAAATAAAATAATCTGAACCTTTATGGACAAGCAACATCGTTAGGCTAACTAAAGATATTTAACTTCTATTTCAGGGCAACGATAGCTGCGTAGTTTGATTTAATTAAAGTTGATCAATGTGGAAACAGGTCTTCGCATTCAAAGACAGAGAGGAGATTGAGTTCGTAGTTCCTACTGCAATTACTGTTGAGGAGTACTATGATGCACCAAATCTGGACATCCTTGCACCATATAAAGAAGAGATAGAGGCGCTGATAATTAAAGTGGGATATTTTTGCTCTTTGTTTCATTAACTGTGCTTCAAATAGATTTTTTTCTGCTGAAACCTTTTCTTCTGGATATTTACTTTAGTATAATTGACTTGTGAAGGTTATGGTGCTTGTTCACGTTTATTCTCGCCTGCATTGGGTCAATGCTAGCGTGATGACTGTATGGAGTTGTGTTTAGTTGATTCATTTATGGCGTGCTTGACTGACATCTTTGGTTCTTCCAGTTTGAGAAAGCTCACACCGATGCTGTGGCCAGCGTGCAAGCTGAGTTTAAAGATCAAACCGAGTTTATTTATAAGCTCAAGGAGAGGGCTAATCGATTTCATCGGGATGTTCAATTTTGCTTGGAGGAACTTGGTTTGTGGTGTGCATCCAAGGTTGATTAGAATTCTGGCACTTGTTTCCCAGCGTGCCTAATATATCAATTTTAACCAGCACGGTGTCTTGCAAATTCTTTGCGAATCAATCTTTTGTATGTGTGGAAAGATATTAGTACACAAAATACTGGAGAAGATTTAGAATGACAATGATCTATTATATTAACTGGGCTGTATTGTGTCTTCATGCATGGATTAACACGTGTTTGGTTATAAAGTTTCAGTTTTAGATGCTTTTGACAGGACTCAATAATCTATACATCTGATTTTTCGAACGTCGTAAATCATGAATGTGATTCTAATTCATTTACTTGTGCGTCGTAACTGTGTCCTGTAGGCTGCAGAATATTTGTTCAAAGTTGACAATGGCCTTGAGGGGTTTGGGGAGGCTATACAAGCTTTCAAACGTAACCTAAATCTCTTTATGAGAGAAACGTGTGGTTTATTGAAATCAGCTGTACCTGAAGGTAGTGCTAGGCTCGTCAAAAGTTCTTAATGTATCAAAAATAAGTGACTAACCTCAATCTGTGTCACTGGATAGGTCACTTGTTTTTCACCTGGGTGGATCATTTTTTCCGGTCGAAGCTTATGTGTCATGCCAGATTGTGTCATCATGTATGACTTGTCGAGGCTCACTGTATTAAGTTGCTTCTCAGGGTGGACTGCTGCTCAGACGGCAGAAGAACTTCAGGATGCTGTAAGCAAAGGATACTTGACTCCAAAGGTCTATCATTTGATAGGGGTTTTGTTCCACAAAAGGTGAGACATCAGAATAGGAAATTTAAAGAATTTTAAGTATCATTGATTAGTTGGTTTTTTTAGCTGGATTCAGGTATGAAATTCTGATCTATTGTTGTGGATACTGATGAATTGTTTTTAGTCTTTCCGTTTTTTGCTTTGAAAAATTCCTTAATTTGTGTTCCCTCGAGATACATTTTTGTCGTTTTTGGTAAGTTGTCTGTCGTCATCTTAACCTACATCTATTGTTTAATGTTACTCTTGCATTCTGGTCCCTCTTAGATTTAGCAACTTGCGTGATTATCATAAATACCCTAGTTGATCCTCTAATATAATGAGTTGGCAGATCAATGAAGGATGTAAAACGCATAATATTTGTGGAGAGACGAATGGCTGCTGTAGTTCTTGCCTACTTAGTGAATGACTTGCAATGTCTCCGCGAAAATTTCCGCTCAGAATCAATCTGCGGAGCAAGTATTGGACCACATACTACTCGGAGAGAACAGCAATGCACCATGACTGCGTTTAATAAAGGAGAGGTGGAGCTTTTTATGATTTGCATCTTTTTTGTGTGAATTATATTTAGGGGCACCCGGTCTCTTTGCTCAAATTCTACTTTTGCCACTTCTATTATGTTGATAGACATGTACACAGCCTTGTTCTGTTTGAGTTTTTTTTTTTTTTTTTTTTTTTTTTTAACATGTAAGTGATTTTGATAAAATCAGATCAACCTGCTGGTAGCCACTGAACTTGCAGAAGAAGGCATTGACGTCAAAAACTGTGGTGAGGTGATACGATTCAACCTACCAAAAACTCTTCGTAGCAACATACAATCTCGTGGACGTGCCCGTCGGTCTGGGTCTACTTATATCGTGTTCTTGGAAAGGTTAGTCCAATCACAGCTACATAGTTTTAGGTTTTGTATCATGAGTGATGATTTAAGTATTCAAATCATGGAGTCTTTTGGTCATCTGTTTGATTAATGTATCTTGATGTAGGGGTAATGGGGCACAGAGAGATCAATTTTCGAAGATAAAACAAAGCGAGTTGTCTGTGAGAGATGAGGCTATTTCTCGAGTGCACATACATGCTAGCAGCGCACACAACAGCTGTTTGCCAATATGTGAACCACTTAAGACTTACCGAGTTGATTGCACTGGCGCCTCTGTCAACACTGAAACAAGCATTGAACTTGTCAACCGGTTTTGTTCCAAGTTGCCGCGTGACGAGTAAGGACCTTTTCTGCTTGTATTCCCTGTTTTTATCTTTTAAATATAACACATGTATTTTATTCTTCCATCAGATTTTCCAGCATTTGATAATAGGTCCAGCTTGAAAAGCTGTATATGTTATAAATACATGCAATCCTCTTTCTACACTTGTTATGTTTCCGTTATCTAATCAGTAATTTAAGAATCGCTACGTTTGTTTATCAGGTCTTACACTCCAAAAGCAGAGTATTTGTCTCAGAAGGTAGGCTTACTTTATAAATGTGACATCAAGTTACCGTTTGGTTCTCCTATTTATGAAGTACTCGGGGAACCACAAAGAACCTCTCGACTAGCAAAACAAGCAACTGCATTAGAAGCATGTACACAGTTGCATAAAGCAGGAGCACTTGATGATAATTTATTACCTTCATTGGATTTCGAATTGGCTGCCGATGTAGAAAAGATTATGCAACCGAAGAATTCCTCTGGTTTTGGTACGGGACTATTCCTAATGTTTTCTTCGTTTCTTGAATCAAAAAATCTCTCTGGCTGACTTCACTAGCCTCCAGGAGCGGAATAGGGAATGGGGTTTATTTGTTTTAATCCAACCAAAGACCAAATGTACTTTTTGTTGATTCGAATATCTTGAGTCTAGGATTCATTGTTTGCATTTTCTTTGTAGGTACCACGGCGCAAAAGGAACTTCATTCTGTTGCAGAAGCGGAAGCCTTCACTGGCCACTGGCACACTAGCAGCAGTGGTGCAGTATTGTTTGCCTACTATATGTCATTTGATATTCATCCCGTTGAAGATGAGATGCACGCAAACTTCGTGTTGCTTATCGGAGCTGCCCTTGATGATGATGTTTCAAAGTTAGAGATTGAACTATGCTTGACTCGGGGAAGAAAAGCCAAAGCTAAACTTTCACCACTAGGACGTACTACACTCACAGCTGATCAGGTATCTGGTATCTCTCCGTATTGTATGTGCTTCGAAGAAGGACTAGTCATCAATATTGCGCTTACGTTAAATGTACAGTTTAAGATGATTTTGGATTGCAGTGACTCCTCTGAGTACCTTGGTTCTTCCTTCCAGATGTTCAAAGATTATATACATCTTCTGTATTGCATCGTTATTGTCAACTCGCAGAGTTTGACAAGTTTTATTCTATTTGGAAAACGTTAACAATTTCTTCTAGCATCTCGTTTTAGTCTCTGGAAATTGAAAAGTAGGGGAATCTATGGGTGTTTCCGCTTTCTCTCTTGTTCTAACACAGCCAATTGCTATATGGTGTGCAGTTGAGTAATGCCAAGTTATTTCAGACTATACTGTTCAATGGGATGTTCAGTAAGATGATTCAACCTGTCCAGGAAAACAGGAAACGCAAACGAGAGTCTGCTATATCGTCCTTTCTTACAGAGAGGATGGGTTTATGGAAATCAAATAATGCTTACCTTCTCCTACCAGCTGTATTGGAGGGATCCAATGATGTTGGCACTTTAGCACCAATCGATTGGAAGATCATCCAAGCCACGTCAAGTGTTGTGAAGAACTTGGTCCTGCCTGAGGATCCGGACTTCAAGCATTCTCAACCACGTAAGAGATTTAAATTCCTTGAAATACTTACGCGACCTTTCAGCTTCGTACGAAGGAAACCCCCCGTAAATTGCCTTACCTTCGCTGGAAATCACCAAGTTGCCACTTCGGAACTCGTAGATGTTGCAGTGTTGACTGGTCACACAGGGATAATATACCCTGTCCTTCGTGTTCTCCACGACACGACTGCTCATAGTCAGTTTCCTGGAGAAAAAAATAGAGAATTCAAGACCTATGCTGAATTTTTCAAAATCAAGTAAGTCACAATGCGTGGAGGACGCGGAATGAACTTATTCTAACTCATTATACATTTTCATATTGTCTATTATGATTGTATTATTGGCATCTTATCATGTTCCTTTCACATTTTCATCATCAAGCACAAATGTTTAATTTGAACTTGTCCAATCTTACAGGCATGGACGCATGTTGGAACATCCAAATCAGCCCCTGCTTCAACTAAAGCAAAACCACCGTCCTCACAATTTGCTTCCTGCAGATGCCGGAAAAATTGAAGGTACCCCACGTTTCTTTCGAGCTGCCAAAGAAATCTGTTCTATTGTTTCGATCTCTTAGATGGAAAAAGGGAAGAAAATCAAAGTCTGCTTTAATCAAAGTAATAATGTTTTAAATATGAAATATACACGTTTCGGATCCATTTTCTCTGAACATCACCGGGATCAACTTGCGGACAATTTACGTATACACATGTCTCTTTATGTAGACATATCCGTCGAAATTGTTTTTTTCGTTAAGCGTATGTGTAATTGTTCAGGTCCCACGGGTGCAAGAAAGATGAAAAAAATTCAGAAAACGGAAGCGACTTTGGTGGAAGCACGTAGTGTCGAAGAGGACTTCGAAGTCTACAACATGAAGGATCAAGCAAACAGTTCACTCAGTGAAGTTGAAAAAGTGGTTTCAAAGGCGACAATGCAATCTACATCAGTGGAAATGCCGCCAGAGTTGTGCGTGGTTTTGAAGTTCTCGGCAGCCATAGTACGCTCTGCATATTGGCTACCATCTGTTATGCATCGCATTAAGTCTGTCGTGCTTGCCTCTCAACTGCGACGGTCAATAGATGCTCCCAAAATACCCGTGATGGAGGTATTGTGCTTCCTATGTTTGTCATTGAATATTAAGCTATTTTAATTCTATATTCTCAGGCGGCTTTTTGATAGTTGTGGGATGCAGACACTCAATTTCTACCTCTTGATGCAGAAATCTAGTGTTTCTGGTCGTTCTAGGTTTCTTTGACATTGATTGTAGCTGGCCATCTTACGGTTGCCAGTGATGCAGGTCCTTAAGGCACTTACAACAACCCGTTGTAACGAAAACTTCAATATGGAAGCCCTTGAGTTGTTTGGGGATTCCTTTCTGAAATATGCCGTGAGTCGAAAACTATTTCTTGAGTCAAGTACAGCTAACGAAGGAGTTCTGTCCACAAGGCGTATACGCAGTATTTGCAACGAAGCCTTGCACAAATTAGCTGTCGACCGAGGACTATCTGTACGTCTCTTCTTTTGGAGAATATGTGCAGATTTATTTTATTTTATTGAGTACCTAGGTTTATGCATACCATTTGTATATTCATTATATCTTGGTTTCAGAAGTCTTGGCTTCTTGGTTTTTGTCACAATTAGAGATGAACTCTGTATGTAACGTGATTTACTGTAATGTTTTCCACTTCAAAAGTGGATTTGAAGGTGAATTCTTATTAGTGATGTTTCTCGTCATGATTGTTTGTGATGTTATCAAGATGCGAAAGCTTTTTTACGAGTTCTGAAGTTTAGCTATCGTTGCAGGCATATATTCGTGATTGTCAGTTTGACCCTAGCCGCTGGGCTGCGCCAGGCATGTTGGCTGCGAAGCGGGTTAATTGTCATTGTAAAGAGGATAATTTGTTGAAACCATTCAAATCCACCACTTCCAAGGTTACGGGTGTCTTTGGTAACGAGTTACTTAAGGACAAAATTCAGACAGAGACAATCAAACCACGGATAGGGCTGACTTGCGACAAAGGGCATCGTTATCTCTGCTCAAAGACAATATCAGATGTGACGGAAGCTCTTATAGGTGCTTACCTTGAATATGGTAGAAACTGCGAAGGTGCCTTAAAATTCATGACTTGGGCTGGCATAGACGTGCATTTTGATTCCAAGTTGATGGAGGCTGCAAGTAAAGCGTCACCGGTAGACTTGAGCTATGATTATGGGGAGGATTTGAAAGCTTTTGAGAAAAGGATAGGATACACGTTTAAGAATAAATATCTTCCATTAGAAGCACTGACGCATTTTTCCAACATGGTTGGCGATCAAATTCGCTGCTATCAGGTATACAGTTATCAACTTTGACATCTTTAGATAAACTCCAACATATACTAAGAGCCACTTTTGTAGTAATAGACAGTAGTTTGCGTAAATTTTTTGGATGATTACGTCATGTTTGTTGTGAATCTATTTCCAACAACGTATAGTATATTATTGAATGTTGTTATTTTCTGGCTTCAGAGACTTGAATTCCTCGGAGACGCTGTGCTAGACTTTCTATTGACACGACATCTGTTCACATCGCATCCTACCTCGACCCCTGGACTCTTGACTAGTTTGCGAACGGCATCAGTAAACAACGAGCGTTTTGCGCGGGTAGCTGTTAAACATAGGTTACATTGTTATTTGCGGCATGGATCTGGACGGCTTCTGCATCAGATTGAAGAATTTGTCAAGTCTTTCGAGGCAGCTGATGATGATCAGAAAAATAGTTCATTTGGATTGAATGGACTCGAAGCTCCGAAGGTATGTGATGATGTTTAGGAGTCTTTTACCTTTGCTAATATCTTACTTGTAATGATCGTATCGGGACAGAGAACACCTTACATCTTTACGGTTTATGAGGTTCCTCAATTTAGAGTTTTTTTTTAGGCTCTATGTATTTACAGCAATGGACGTGTGGCTATGACCGTCCTGAATTCATTTAAGATGACATTTAAGAGATTTTTCTGGAGACCATATCCTCCAATTATTTTTGAGTAGGCTTATTTATTACTTACTGAAGTTCTTAAAGTAACAATTTCCCTCTCGTTTTGTCCTGATGCATACAGGTTCTTGGTGACTTGGTAGAGAGTATCGCGGGAGCTATTTTAGTCGACACTTGCTTTGATCTTGATAAAGTGTGGGCAGTCATGATGCCTCTGCTTGAGCCAATTGTCACTCCAGCCACGCTTGACATTCATCCTGTGACCGAACTTGAGGAACTTTGTATGAGCAAAGGATACTCTATTAAATATGGAGTACATAAAGAAGATGAATGTAATTCAAGAGCAATATATGAGGTATGTCTTATACAAATTTGTCTTTCTTACTTTCTGTTTATGTTCCTTGCCTCTGACAATCTGGGCTGTTGCAGAACGATGTTTTGAGATGCTGCTGTGGAGTGTTTTACTCTTGGGTTTGGTTCTGGGCATTTCTATACTCCTGAAACTGTGTTAACCCCGGGATTTAAATTGACTGTCGATATATCTCAGGTCCAAATCAGTGATGAGCTATTCTTTCGTGGAGAATCATGTAAGCCCAAAAAGAAGACAGCTAAAAAAGATGCTGCTGTGAAAGTATTAGCAAAACTTAAGGTAGGCTACATACCTTCACCAACGTGCTTCTTCATTTCGTATTCCGACATAGATAAAGTACAGTTAGGTGCGCAACACTTACCTTTTGTGTACGAGCTTAGGTCATTCTTTCGAAACTGTTTGATAGAAATCAAGATAAACGCTTCGTGATGTGGTATTTACTGGTGCAGAGACACGCATGTGAAGACAAATTGGGGCACGAGATTGTCAACTGCAAACAGGAAATTGAGACTTGTGAAGCACTGGGTAACTCAAATTCAACAAACACAGCACAAGTATTACCCAACGAAAAGAAAGAGCCTAGTTCTGCGATATCTACTTCCAGTCGCGGTGTTTTTGATGACTGCAGTCAGGTCTGTTTGAAAACACTGACTTTTATTTGAGAGTTAAATCATGCCTATTGAAATTTTTCTGTTGTAAGATATTCAAAGCTACACTTCTAGTCTTGGACAACGGTTTCTGTTCCGTCCTTAATAAAGTCCATATTTGCAATGTGAGACTGATATTTAATCCAGAAAAAAAGGTTAGTAAACGATTTAACGTCTGCTCAGAGGCTCGGGAGTTCCTTAGAGCTGCAGAAGTGTACTCTCTCCAGAGTGAATAATTTTGATGAGGACAATTTGGAATATTTCTGAACTCAAGTACGGTACTTGTCTGGTGCAGACACACAAATGCAGAGACATACCTGAAAAGGAGATCATCGGCTGGGATCAAAAACTTGCGTCTTGTGAAGTATTGGCAAACTTTCCACCTGCAGACATGTCACAAATAATCTCAGACGAAAAGTCACAACTTTGTTCCACTCCTAGTACCGTAGTCAGCGAATTAGGTGAGGGCCTGCAAGGTATAGAAGTTAGGACTAGAATGTTACCTACGGTTGGGCTGAGCATACAAACTGATACGGAGTCACTTAGTAACACTACTCAAACTAAGAACTCGTCTTTGGTTACGGAAACTTGCACAATGCTCGCGACAACTTGGGGTGGACTTCAGCCGAAAGGACATAATAGGTCTGAGAATGGTTCCGTCGAAGATGCCATAGCTGCCCGGCATGATGTAGGTGAAGGTCCTGCTAAACTACACATGTCTGCTTCTAAGCACGATTCGGACAAAGTTCCTAAAGTTTTGCCAATTCCAGCAGCTGAGGATTTGATTTCAACCAATACTTTAATTGCGATTCAAGAGCTCAGTAAGAATACACTGTCGGAGAAGAGGTTGGAATCTGAAGATGATGGCAACAGGTCATCCAAAATGCCAAAATATTACTGGTCGCGAGAAGTGGCAGTGACGAACTCTGGAACTATTTCAGATTCTTCTACAGGTAAGACCAAGTCAGTCCTCTTTTGTCCGTCATGTTTCCTGCTATATTTCTGGTAGTGGTATACATGACTGTTCTTTGCGGAGACCTCTATTTAGGGTAGTCACATGAGGATTGTCACTATAATGCAGAAAACCAAATAAATACACAGATAAGTTATACTGCTATGGGTTCCTCAATAATTGCCTTTTTATCATGAACAGTATTGCATTCCACGAGCCACAACCTCGTTAAGCCCTCGGATGAGGTAACGAATTTATTGGATTTTTGCCCATGGACAGCAGCATTGCCTTCAGGTATCGTTTCGTGCTCCAGATGTGTGACAGCCTGTGGAAGTTAATTATTTAATTCATTTTACAAGGAGATTGTTGCTTCATTTATTCCTAAGCTCGTCAGCCCTGTGACATTCAATTGAGTACTTCCTGTTTATATTTGCAGCTCGCAATGCTCTATCTTCTAAGGCCCTTCTGCATACTAACCCTCCATTAGATATTTACTGGTACCGTGCTATGATGTTTTGTAGGAAGTAGTATCTGTGAAGTTCAAAGCCAGACCACAACTTCCGCTAAACCCCACGATGTTGTGGACGTATTGAAGGGTGACGGAATCATGTCTTCCTTTCAACCAAGAAGTCCAGTTCGTGCGAATGACTCAAAGCTGTCTAATTTGCATACGATACAAGGAGCGAAGTGCAGTAGCAAACCTGTGCGAGCTGCCCCGGCAAATTGCAGACAACATCTGAATGAACTTCGCATGAAGAACAAGTGGCTCAGCCTAGCATTTAAATTGATAAACGAAGAAAGCACACATAATGTTCCAAGGTTAGTATTAGCTACATGTGTTGCAATTTTAAGACTATGCTGGTAGTTGTGAGGCATCCGCGAGAGAGAGAGAGAGAGAGAGAGAGAGAGAGTTATTCTTATTATTATTATTATTATTATTATTATTCTTATTGTTGTTGTTGTTGTTGTTGTTGTTATAGAATAAAACACTACATATGGTCGATGTATGACAGTTTTCATATTCTTTAAAGCTTGTTTTTGGCGAATATCTTCATTAAGCTGGTGCCGAGAAGTTTTCACGACTTCGAACATGTCTTCTAGGCTGAAAGTTGTGTACGTGAATAATGGCGGTTTAATTACTGAGGTTAAGTTTGGTAGAATGTGCAGATTCAGGTTTTCCTTGACAGTCGACACGGGGAAAGAGAGGTATGAAAGCCAAGGAGAAGCTAAATCTGGTAAAAAGCAGGGTCAGGAATCTGCAGCATTAGCAATGTTAACTATCTTAAAGCAGAATGGTGTTGCTATATTTGATTGAGTAGTGTGCATTGCTCGTGAAATGAGAGCTTAGTTGTTCTGTGAAGTGTTGCTTATGTAATCTTGTAATTTAAGTTTAAAAAATTACATTATATTCCATTACTTCTGACCCTTATTCCTCGTTTCATCAAGTGACAGTACCTGAGCCAATATTTCCATGGTGGTCTATATTCCGGAACACTTTTTTCATCCTTAGTAACATAACAGGTTGGTGGATCTCCGAGAAGGCTGTTATTATTGTTTTTCAATTAGTTACAATGAAATTCATCTATTTTAGGCTCATAGGGATAGTTAAAGCAATCGTATGATCGTAGCGCACTACGTAAAAATTCTGATTTATTGTGCCCCCTGACCACGTTTTTACTGCAAGTAGTTTGCAAGTCGTTGCAATTTTGTATGAATTTGGTTTGTGCTCCAACTCTGTAGTATCTAAGATCTATCTATACGTCACACTTCAAACCATTAATACTCCTAACGACAACTGGGGTTCATATCTTTTTCCTCGGCTACGGTGATTATTAACTGGACCCTTGAGATTTCTTTATCTATGTAACCTCAGTAATACTTACTGAAATTAAACATTTTGAATTAACTTTATGTGACAGTTCAACTTGTGTGTGTGCGTGAGTGTAGGAATACATATATATATATATATATATATATATACATATCTTTTAATAAAGCTGCTACCAAGGCAAAAAATGAACATAACCAAGGTTCCGAAATCACACAGTTGACAAATTAAGCCAAGCATCGAGGGCTTCCCATCGTGTTGTCAAAAGAAAGATTCTCAGTCCATTCCTTGAAAGAATTAGGTTAACAATACCAGTGTCTTAAAACAGCATTCATTCGCATGACGTGGTGAAACCAATTTTCTCATCAAAACTACAGAAATAAAAACTTGATGAGTTAACATGAAGAGTCATTTTTGGAGCTGCCTTCACACAAAACGAGGATTTCTTTGTCGGAGTTGAACCGAACAGTTGCAGGGATGGATTTGGAAGTGGTAGATTACAGAGGCTTTCCACACATGAGTGAAGTTTCTTTTTGAAGACGCTAGTCTGAGTGTCACAACAAAGGCAAGGAAAGAGTAGTAGCTTACGAGACACTTGATGCAGTAGCAGCAGCCCATCACCTCCTCCTCCTCCTCTTCTGTCTTTCCCCCCCAAAGCAAAGAGAGACCCACCTCGCCATTTGACACTGTGGGTTTGTTTCTATCGCCTCTGTGCACAGTGACCACGATCACGAGGAAGAGGAGGAGGCGGTGGAGGAGGAGCATCGCATCTCTTGCTCACAGGGAGCACATCGGTTATTATTTTGCCGTTTCCCTTGCCTCGTGCACTATCGCCCTTCTTGTTCCATCCTATTGCAACGTCAGGTAATCGTGGCTTCTTACGTCTTTCGCTTTGGAACTTTCTGACGCTCTTTGTTTGCCTTACCGTCCTGGTACATCACCCGCTCGTCTTGATTGATTGTGTAAGGAAGCCTGGAGGTCGTTTTTTCATGGGCATTATTAGTATTCATGTTTTTAGATGTGTTGAGCTGGGCACTCTAGCGATCCCTTCCCTTTTCTCGGGACGTCATATGTACCTCCTCCACTCGCTTGCACATGGGGTTTTTAGGGTAGGTTCTTTTTGCCTCAATTTGTGAACTAGATAACAGTCTCTATTGCTCGTATAATTCTCTTCGGGTTGTGTCGAGTGTTGATTTTAATGGCATTGGTTTGATGGTGAGCGAATTAGTTGTTTTCTCGGGAGTGACATTGTACCATGCCCAGCCTCGACAAGCTTTGAGCATAAAAACTTTTTGGGTCAAGGACATATTCTGGCTTCTGTTGAGTACTCTCAGATGTCCTGTCGTTAAATTCGGCACTGCAGTCAGGCGCTAGGGCTGAAGTACGTCTTTTCTTTCGATTAGGTACTGCTGACTGAGTCAATGTGGTGGTTATATAGCAATTCTGAACGATTCAAGTAAGGGAATAATTCGTGAAATTGGGAGCATGAGCGTTATTCAATATGGCGTTCGTAAACTTGCAATCTAGGTTTCCAGGCGACTGTATTTGGTCTGGCATTTGAATGTATGTATTCAGCGGATTCACCTCGTGGTTACGATTATTCTTGTAGTAGAATTTTATGGATGCCATCATCTTACAGTTCATTGAAGCCTTGACGAATTTGACCGACAGAAGCAGTGAAGAGCCTTACGCGGAGCTTTAACAAGAACAGGGGTGGGAGTGCATGTAGGGTGAATTTCAGCTTGCGGAGCCTCCGCATCTACGGACAATGCGAGGAGACCCGTAAATGTTTTTTTGTAACGACGGCCGGGCGGGAAAACTTTCTCGGCAAGGTGGATAGTTAAGGAACTTGTGGAGATCAAATGGAGGGAATTGATGAGGGAGAAGAAGCTCACAATATGCAAGGAGAATCCCCTGAGGTCACTAAGGTGGGCCATACACGGGAGGCCATGGAAGTGGAGGTTATAGAAGGTGTAGAATTTTTAGGCAATACTCATGAGCAGGAGGAGGATCTCCCATCCATTGAAGGCCGTAGCAACGTAAACACCAATGAGTTGGATGCCTTTGAGAAAGAAAGAGGGGAGCCTTTGGATCCAAGTATTGTTTCGAAAAATGGAGAAGGTCCACAAGATATTGCTCATGTGGATCATCGTAAGAATGGATTAGTTGACTTGAATGAGGAGACCAGCGAAATAGATGTATATCTTATGGTACCAGCTGGCGATGCGTTAATGACAGAACAGGATGAAGCACTTTTGGGAGGAGATACGGAAATGATCGAAGATGCTAGTGAGGACACTGTCGCGTTGCAGCGAACTAAACCTATGGACAATCATTCTGTGACCTCTGGTGGAGCTGCACATGGTCATATAGTAGAGGATTTGAATGGGTCTAGAGGGAGAGATATGGAAGCTCATGGTCAGCATCAGCTGGCAGAAAATGTTGCAGGACATGTGGCAGTGAATTTGTCAGCAGTTTCAGATGGTGGATCTGGTGGAGACGCTTCTTTGGAAGTTCTTGTCGCAAGTTACAATGCATGCTCAGATCATGGCGGGGCTCTCGTTAACAGAGATGTGGATAATCAACAAATGGAAGCTTCAGAGCTTGTGGACAATGAGAGGAAGGAATGTTCCTCGGTTCTGAGTAAGGAGAATGATAGCGAGAGTGGCAGGGAATCATCTGGTAACTTGAAAGACAGCTCCAGCTCTAAAGTGGATCTTTTGCCATCTTCTGACTCTCGAGCAGTGTTTAGTGATGCGAGTCTGGCTCAAATGCAAGCTCAGATTCTTGTGATGGGAATCTTAAGGTAAATGCTGTTATTAATCTGTCGACTTCGCATCTCTAAATGACATATCGGTAACTGTTTTAGGAGACAAATTTAGTCCCTTTATTTTAGAACTGGACTTGTTAGATAATGCTGATCAAATCTTATTTCTTCAATCCCCTAAACGAATCATTTATTTCCTTTTATCTCTAGTATAGGGTAGAATTATGGGTACTTTGTAAATCTTTACTTGTAAGAGTGTTAGGTGGCCATACCCCACTGACTAGGATCTTTGGGACATAATTTACACTTACCAATCAATATTAGCATGTCGTGTCCTTAGCCACACACTAAAACCCATAACTAGTGTCGACCACTGCGATTTATGATTCGGAAAACAGTGCCTAATGCCGAAATGCTACTATAGCTCTTGGAACACTTTCCTATTTCACTGCCGTCGAAATTGGTGACAACTGAGCTCACCCACACTACTCATCTTTACACTAGATGTTATCTGTTGTTTCAGGAAGGGAAATAATCCAAGCAACGATCTCCTGGAGTCCGCATGCCCTCAAAGCTATGAAGGTGAGCCTCACATACATTGATTTCAATAGTTTATTAAAGTCACTGATTATTGTGCAATTTCACTTGTCTATGCTCACATAATGCGAGTTACTCATTAATGTTATGTATCATGTCATAACGAGGAGTTCCGTTGTTTAGATAAAAATCTCTAAATGAACCTTCTATTGGGTATCTTGTGGTCCGTGATTCAGGTGTCGGGGATCCACCACCTTCAAAGAAGAGAAAGCCTTCTGGTACGGAGGCGTTACCGCGAGAGGCCAGCAAAGAGCCCTCTGGCCATGCTGGGATTGCGACTAATCTGATGACGTCCGTGAAGGAGAATCTGAACTTATCTGAGGATCCTTTGCTTCTCGAGGATGAAACTTACAGACAACTTCGTTTAGCGCAGAGAAGTGCTCATGATGCAATGTCAACTGCCGCTTCAGCCCTTGCTCAAAGCCACATAGCTTGGTCTCAGATCCGAACAGGGGATCACTCAGAGATAGAAATTGCTAGGGAAGCTCAGATAGCCTCTGTAGCTGCCACTGTTGCGGCTGCTACTTCAGTTGCGAAGGCTGCTGTGGAGGCTGCAAAAGCCATTGCCAATGTGTCCATGAAAGATTTTTGGCGAGGTGGAGATCAGGTAGGTTGCAGATCTCTTACGGCACTCACCAAATTCTTCGGCCTACCTAGGTTTGGATTTCACTATGTTCAGCAGTGTCTGAAAATTTTGCTACTTGTACTATTTCATGCTTCTTGCTTGAAGTATTCGATGAGTTTTGAGGTATTTGGATTACAAGGTTATAAGACATGTGAGTCGCTTAAACAGTGACACGCTTTGCGAAATGAGAGAACATTTTGCCTGTGCATTACAGTATTGCTATATTTATGAAATTATATCCCTCATTTTGTTTCTTTAGAAGGAGATGTGTATCTGATTATAAAGAAAATCCTTGCAGAATGGAAAATCCGCTTTTCCTCTGAGCAAGGAAAACAAAAAATCTAAACCAGATAGGAGTCAAAAGTCTCAAATGCTGGCCTCCGAAGCCGCAGGAATGGCCTCTGAAGATGTTACACAAACCGGGACTGTTCTGGCTTTGGCTTCTGGCAAGGCATCTGGAGGCAGTAAAACGAAGCGAAAAGTTTTACCCAAAGCGAAGAATAGAAAGAAATCTAGGGCGGGGGGTCGAGCCCAGCGTCCTTTGACACAGAGGGATAACGGTCAGCCGGAAGCGCTGACCAAGGAAAATGTACCGCACGAGGATTTAATGGATGCTGGAGTTGGTGTGGATATTGATGAAAATTCTAAGAGTTTTGCAGAAGGCACAGCAGTTGAGGTAAGAAATAATCGATTTGTCTTTGTTTATTTGACGTGAATGGTGTGGGCAGATGCTGTGCATTGATTGCTTAACACTTTTTCATTTGTTTAAAAGCGGCATCACGTCTTCAGCGGTATGGCGTTAACAAGAATGGCTTTGCATGTAGGTGATGACTGATGAGGAAGGACTGCGAGGTGGTTGGTTTTCTGGAAAAGTTTTAAGGATAGATAAAGTACAAGCATACGTAGTTTATGATGAAATTCTTGATGACGATGGTAATCTCTCCTCTTCGCACCAAGAAAACGATCTCTGCTACTTCAGTCCTTGTAATTATGTTATTGTATGCGGAGGAGTTGTTTTGATTTTGGTATTGATCTGATTCTTAAATTCAATTTTTTTAGTTTTGTACTTGAATTGATTGCATTATGGCATGTAGGTCTCTGTATTCACTACTCTGTACTACCACATGCTCAGTAAGTAGCTTGCATCATGTAGGTTCTGGAAAAGTAAAAGAATGGTTTCCTTTGAAGGCCAGTGGACCACCTTCAGGTTCACGGAGACAAGTGCGTCCTTTACATCCGTACAGTTCTATTAGAGAAGCAAAATCTAACAAGCGGCAGCGCATAGCTTCAGGAACTCGGACTTGGGCAGTCGGTGAATGTGTTGACGCATATATTGAGGATGGGTAAGGATAAATGCCTTAGTCACAACGATCCTGGCCACTGAATTTAGGTGGTTTTCCTGTTTGATGCAGTCCTTTTCTTCCTCTCTCTTTTGAAAGTGTTGCAGAGATATCTATCCATATATATATATATATATATATATATGAGTGTGTGTAAGTGGTTTTGCGTCTAAACGGTGCAGATTTCTACACTCATAACTTCCTAACTTCAGTACCATGTAATTTGAGTATGCCTGTACAAGTATTTTCAGGTGAGGACCTTTATCGCATGTGTAAAAGCAAATGTTAACGCTATTTGTTCACCGAGCGAGTTGACTTCTAGAGTAATATCTTACGATCCTCATCCCTATAACAGAGTATGGAAGACCTGTTTTGGGGCTATTTCTGAGGGGTGCCTAACATCTAAGAGCTTTGTTCCGTTGGAAATAGAAAATCGACCACAAAAATTTTAAACGAGGTTGAGTTAGATTTTTTTGCAGTTTCTGTCACGTTTCTTGGAGGTGCGAGTTGATTTGTAATCTATCGACATGCTTGCAAGCAGATGGTGGGAAGGGAATATTATTGAGCTAAACGATCTTGATGAGGCCAAGGTCACCGTCTATTTTCCGGGGGAGGATGACACACAAACTGTGAAGACATGGAACTTGAGGCCGTCATTGCAATGGGACGATGGAGTGTGGGTGCCCTCGGCGGATTCCACCATCACCCATGTACCAACAGTCTGCAGAACTTCACTTGATTATTGTCTTGTATCTTCTAGTTTCCTGCTCGGATCTTACAGTTGTTTTGAATGAAGCAGTCTGCTTTTTCGTTGTTGCACTAGCGTGTTGAAAAACTTGAGCGAAGTACTAGGGCTAATGGAATAATGGTGAGTGGCAGGTGAAGACGGGAGGTACAAGTAGCAAGTTAAAGAGGAACAAGCCAGTCAAGGATGATGCTCGGGAGTTAAGTGCAGAATTTATAATGAAGGATAAAGATCTCGATAAGGAAGTTGCTGAACCTACTCTTCTCTCATCCACACGTAGGAGGAAAGCCCCAGAGGCAAGTGATAAAGCTTCAAACGGGAAGAAAAGCTCTTGGAACGTTGAAGATCCCAGCAATGAGGTTGATGGATCCACTCTTCCTGAATTTACTTGGAAATCTCCCGATCGTAAGGAAAAGGCGAGAGTGGGAGCGGCCATAGCCTCTAGCCAGATGAAGTCCAGAAATAAGGCATTTGGCGGCAGAATAGCAAGCGGCAAGGATACGAAGGCTCATGTCAAAACAGAAGATAAGGACGCTAGTACTGTTGCATCACCAAAGAAACTAGACCTTGATGTGGACCAAGGTTTAACGAAAGCCGTAAACAGAAAAGAAACACCAAAAGTTTCGATGACAAGGACTAGAGGAAAACTCAAAGATAAAAAGCAGCAAAAGAAAAGACCAAAAAGGAGATGATCGATTTTTATGGTTGGCATGATTTTCGTTTTATCTGTCTTAGATAATTGGTGCTCGTGTATTCTTTATTATATCTGCAGTGGGCTATTAGGAAGTCTTGATTTAGTTCTCATCTATTTGCAAAGTACAATAGAAAAGCACTTCTGGATATACATCTTTCCACCCGTATAAATACTAATGCTTCTCTATTGTACTTTGTAGAGGTTTTAAAATTTTATCTAGAATCTGTGGAGACTAGGAGTCGTATAATTAGAGAAAAGGTCTGTATCAATTTGCTGATTATGCAGTGCTGTACAGAAAACGTGAAGTACCTCAACTTGGAACAACTCAAGCTGAGAAAGTCAGGGTGTTGGGTATCCAATTAAAGGATCGAATACTGAAGTCATGTACCTTATGCTCAAGCTAAGGTGATGGTGGTTGTGGTTTGTACTTAGGTATGATGAATCCAGCATCAACGGTGGGCCTGGCCCCGACAAGATATCTGTAATGCATCACCTCCCCTAGCATTGCTTGTTTTTGTAGGCAGCCTAGATAGTAGGCAACCATAGTTTTGGTTGGATGCAGGGTTCTCATCTCTGCTTCTAAAGCTTCAGTATTTTTTTTTGTTAAAGACATCTGGTAATGGTCACCCACGTTTATTGAAGAATAACTTGGTTTCTCTGATCAGGAAGACAGATTGAAAATTTATCTCAGTCAAGAAAGGCATCACACTATATATGTGGTGGGGCATGTTATGAGTACAATCACTGTGGAAATTCACATCTGAGATAAAGCAAACAATATAGAGATGAACAAGAGTTATGAAAATGGCTGTTCAAACCTGCAAGGGGGGCAGAACTTATGGCAAAAATTAGCAGTCCAAGGAATTTGGTGTTGTGGTGGAATGAGTTGGAAGCAAACATCAAAAATGTATATAACACAGTTTTTTTCAGTAGATATGTCACAAAATGATATAAGAATTTTACATGATGTGTGATAAAATGGTGTATTTGATTGAAATATATGATTAAAAGTAAGCATTGATACTGATGATAGATAGATTTTCTTGCCAAAATAGATTGTATTGAAAAGTTGTGTCTATGGTAACCAACATCAATGTATTAGTAACAAATTCATTAATTGATCTGGATATTTGGAATATGGATCATTGTTGTTTAAAAATGTTTTATAAAAAAGGCAAGTGGGATCTGAAGTTAACACGTGCGATTTATAGCATTTTGGTTTTAAAATCTATAAAAAGGTGTGCCTGAAGACAATACAAACTTGGAATGTCAAAGACCTTTTTACTGTGAAGCTTCAAAAAAGTTATATTTTTAAAATGTTTGCAACCAACATCAATTCTTCTTGTTAGTTTCTTTTTCAAAATATATATAATTTCTCAAGAGAATTTTTTTTGGATATTTTTCTTCCCTTTTTCAAAAGTAGATTTGTTAGTTTGTTTGATTTGATTTTCATCTGAAAAATAAACTTTCTATTGTATTGACCTTTATTGAAATAGTTCATTTTATCAAACTAAAAGTCCAAGTTTGTAAGTCATCAAAATAATTTTTGATGAATAGCAATTGTATTTATATTCAATACAACGTTCAATTTTGAAATTGATTTTTTTTAAAAAAAAGGGTACATTAAATTTCCAGAAAATAATCAGAAAATAATATATTAAGCTGATAAGGATTAGATTGCAATAAAAAAAAGTGTCAAAAAGGAAAACATTTTTGATTCTGTAATTTTAAATCTTGAAGATAAATTGAGCTTTTTCTATCATATTAATAATTAATATATAATAACTATAAAAAATCATAGGCCCCCATAATTTCAAAAACACTTAATTTTGAAAACATATCTTAATGTTGTAGCTAAATTCATACTTTAGTAATGAATTAATGATATATTATAATTAGATTTCGTATAGAATAAAATTATGTAAAGATAGAGAAATTGTAAAAAGTTGCTCATAAAATCTATGTGGGAATGTATTTTTTAAAAAAAATATCCATAAAAAATATAAAAATACAATGTATATATTTATATATATATATATAGAAATCATCTATGTAATTATTTAAAAAACCAATGTGATTATATTAGTAAGTTATAATTGTGCAAAAAAAAATCAATGTGAACAAAAAGTTTATATAGTTTTATTGATGCATCAAAAACATTCTTGTAGTAAATCAATATAACTTTTTCATATTGTAACACTATTAGAATCCTTTGTTCATATTCATATATATTTTTAAATGTAAACTATAATTTTATATTACGAATTAATTCAAAATCAATAGTTTAAATATGGCTAATAATATTATGTTTGATCCGCCAACATAAAAATATAACCTAAAAAACCATTTTCAAATTTTCAAAACAATAAAAAACATCAAGTCTTAAAATTTATTAAATACATATATTTTGCTTAATGCTATCAATAGAAGTTATGAAATTCAATCTTAATTGTACACTATAACAGAATATGTAATACAACAAAATCTAGTACAACAAAATATGTTGTAGTATATAATGTTTGTTTTTTTTAATCATGTCTTTTAAAGAAATTGTTACTAAGAATTAATTTTGAAATAAAAATTTCAAAAATGATGTTGATATTGAATTTACAGTCGTCAAATATTAGCTTCTGATAAAGTGATTTTATTTATTTATTTATGTATAAATGGATTTATACAATTTATTCAAATAAGGAATGACTACCTAATAGGTTTTTTTTTTTTTTTTTTTTTTTTTTTTTCCAAAAGTTTTTAAGAATTTAGCCTTTTAACATCAGTGTGTTAATTTTCTCAAGACAAGGTGCTAAGTCATTACAATATCAATAATTTGGAATGTTCTTACTTCAACCCATAAATCAATTATATTTGGTAGTTTCACCACCCTTTCAAGTACTATTCATAGTAATTTCTTAACTATCGTTTTATCTGATGTCCATCTTTAAGTTGACAATAACAAACTAGAAATATCTATTAAATAATATTATGTTTTGAAAAATTCAACTTAAACAACATAGGTTTCTCATTAACTCACATGTTTTAATTCTTTTAATAGTAATATTTTTTATTATTAGCCATCCCATCTTGTAAATTTAAGTTACTTTTAAAAAGATTCATGAAGATAAAAGATAGCCTTACTTTTTGAACTATCTCATCTCTTGCTACTATTTAGAAAACATAATGTCTTTTTGGCCAAAAATACTACATAACTTGAAAGATATTTGTTGATTTCCTTTTTAAGGTCTATAAGATGTTATTCTTGACTCTAATGTAATTTGTTCTTAATCAAATATATCTAAATTACTATTCCAAATAAAAAATTAAATAGTATAATGTGATATGTCTATTGTAAAATAATTTAAATTATATTCATCGGATTCTTTCTAATAAGTCTTGAGAAAAATACACCCTTCTAATAATTTACAAATTGCAAACATGTCATGTTCCTGTGCTCTATAAGATATTTTTCTTTTTTTTGTGATGAATAATATTCTTATCCATTTATCAAACAAAGAATTTTATTAATACTTTTCAACTTATGGAAATGTAAACTATATGTTCACCTCCTTTGTAATCTTCTATGACATACAAAGATGTAAAGAATAACAAATATTCACTCGAAAATGACGTAAATAACATTAAATCAAATGATGCTCAGTATATAATTTATAGGATTAAATTTTTCATATTCTATAGCTTTTCAACTCTACAGCAGAAATGATAAACGTGATTAAATTATATGCCTAATCAACTATAAGATAGACATTATCTTGAACTGAATGTTTTGGCTATGTTTTGTTTGTAACAGGGCCCTTATCAGAACAGTACCAGAACAGGGCTCATACAGTATTGTGCTAAGTAATTACCCACCAAACTCTCCCCTTCCCTTTATTATTATTAGTAGTAGTATTGTACCACATTGTTGAGAAGGGATTCGATTCCTAGTTCTGTCCATATACTACTCCATGGATTAATTATTGGCTTATCAATCCATAATAAACACATACATTAAACAATATGTAGAGCAGGCTTTGGACTAATCCAGGATTAATGATACCAGTCCCTTCCTCTTCCTATAGATCTAATTAAATGCTTTTAAAAATTTAAATATACAGAAACATTGAACATGTATAATAAGAAGAATTATCAGTAAAACTTAGCAAACAATTTTTAAATAAACGTGTGATTCTTTTGGTTGATTTTTTTTTCTAAAAGTAGATGAAGCTCCTAAAAAGCACACGGATGGTTTATCTTAAAAACAAGATTTAGTCTTTTGCACAACCTGTGAAAATATGTCTTATTCTAATAAAATAAATATTTTTTCTTTTTTCTTTTTTGAAAGAATCAACAAAAAACAATTCTCTTGTTAGATTATAAAAAGATATGAATTGATCAATGCAAAACTTTTAGTGCAAATTTTCTATTAAAAAATGTACCTTAAACACTAGAAATAACCATACAAAATTATTTTTAAAATAGAAAAAGAAGAAAAAATAAAATAGATTATTAGTTTTTTATTTTAAATATCCATTTTTATTTTTATTTTTAGCTATATATATATATAGTTATCCTGATAACTGTCAATTTAAATAAGTGGGTTTGTTTTATCATTATATATAGATATATATTTAAAATAAGTTTCTACTTCATATTATGTCTTTGATCATTTGCAACTACTTGCCTTTTTTAATATTCCATAGTTTTTGGATCTTTATAAAAAAATACTTTATGAAGTGGTGGCATTTGAAATTATCAAAATAAATAAATATTTAAAAACATTTAGTTATATTGAATAATTTATCCATTTTTTTTTAAAGAATGGTGACATTAAATCACTGTTTTTAATAACCAAGAATCATTAAACATTTGACCTATAATTCAAAAATTTATAATTAATTTTATCTTAAAATCAAAGATTTTAACACATTTTAAACTTATAATTTCATATGTAAGTAATATATGTTTATATATATATATATATATATATATATATATATGTTTATATCCTTATATTGATTTTAAGTTTAGTTTGGCACTAAAATTAACATTTTTGTTTTGCTAATATATTATCAAAATAATAATCTCTAAAAAAAATTAATCCTAAATAAGTTCTTTGAAATATTTTATAAATTTTTCTTACTTAGATTTTTAGACTTTTGGAAATCCAAATTACCTCCAATTTTGATCACACTTACTTTATTTTGTTTTTAAAAAGTAAATTAATATTTTATTTATTTATTAATTTTTTTACAAAGTCACTTATTTTAAATAAAAAAGGACTTTGAAATATATATATATATATATATATATATATAGAGAGAGAGAGAGAGAGAGAGAGAGAGAGAGAGATAATTGTTAATGCTACATCCCTAATCAATATTGCTATACTGCACATGATCTCATTGTAGACAACTAACTAGTAATATGCCCTTTTTTATTAATTTTTTTTTGCACATTTGTTTCTTTCTTTGCTTTAAAAAAGGATGGTAGTTGAGAGGGAGACAATGAATATTTTATGAAAAAACAGATTGTAAGCTATTTTTTAAAAAATAAAAAATATATTTTTGCAAAATTACTTAATTTATTTTTATTTTTATTTTTTTGGGTCAATATTGGAGTTCCATGTTGAATTATTAAATTCACTCTAAATATAGAATCACCCTTTTTAGACAATTTAAGGTGTAAAAATATCAAATATATCTATATATATATATATATATATATATATATATAAATTTAAATCTCATGTAGCTTGCAAAATAATAGAAACATATTCTACACTTTTTTTTTTTTTTTTTTTTTTTTTTTCTTTCTTTCTTTTGTTTCTATCAAAGTCCTATTAATAAAAAAATGATACTCCTAGGTGATTCCATTCAGAATTACACTTCAAACCTTCATTATTAATACTATCAAACCTAGAATAGTTTCAAAAACATTTCTAATAAATATTTTAAAATGCGTGCAA